AGAAATTGAATTGATCATTTAGCCTAAAAAATAATTTTATAAATTATTAGTTATTATTTGTAGATAATTATTCACTTCGTTTCAAAAAATTAATGTTGAAATAATTTGTAACTAATTATTTACTACAATTACCAACATAATTTTACAATCGATTAAAATTATCAATTATTGATTCGATTGCAAATGAATAATATTGAAAAAATACTGTATTTATTAATTAATTAATTAATTTTAAATTTTTTATAAAAAAAATTACGATCTGTAATAATCATTTTCAATCATTTAAGTATAATGTAAATGATATTTGAGATAATAGTAAAACAAAATAAAGATAAATTATTAAAATATTTATTATAAAAATAATTTTAAGGTGTAAAAATGATTTTTAAAAATATTTAATGTACCTATAAATCAAAAAATCAAATGTTAGTAGAAATAGAGAAAAAAATAATTAAATAATAAGTAATGATTGATAAGGAATAATTAAAAATTAATTTGATATATTTTAAATAAAAAGAAGATAGAGAAAAAAATTATTAAAATATATTGAGAGAGATATAAATAATGTGAGAGTGAGACAACTTGTGAGAAGGAAAATGTTTTTTAAAAAAAAAATGGGAAAACATTTCTCAAAAATACTATATCATTTTTCGTTGACTGAAAATTATTTTCCGTTAACTTTTTTCCTAAACACGAAACAAATATTAAAAAATGAGAAAACAAATTCCTAAAATTTGTTTTTCCCCAAACAAACACAGCTTAAATAGTTTTTTAAGCTAAATTAGAAACATTCTTTTCGTTTCTTCTTTTGCTTATCTTAAGAACAACACACAATAATGGATGGATGTTGCGTGGATGATGTACTGTCATCCTTGTTTTCTTAATTTTCTCTTACCACGCTTGTCATGTAATGAAAAATGACTACTCTTTGCTCAACATAAATTGAGTAATTTTTTATGGTTTGAATATGGTGCAACAAAATAAGGTACCAAGTTCCACCAAAATAGGTGTTGAAATAGACGGCGGACTGTATAAAAAATAAAAATTTTGTGTTTTTTTTTTGTTTTTTTTGGACACACATTTGAAGAGAAGTCTAAATTAATTATGGTATCGCTTCGAGTGATGCTAATTAAACATAAATATATTTATTTATTTATTTCTGAAAAGTAAGTAATTAATGAGACTCAAACTTTTGACTTTAAAATGAATAAATCTTTTTCCTATTATCTGATTCAGCCTCTAATTAAAAGTATATCACTGTACACTTCAAACTGAATAAATCTTTTCCTCGTTATTATATGAGTAAACCCCTAGGAAATATATCATTATGCAGATGAAACCGGATAATATAATGATCGTGGATTTTTTTAATCCATTACAATTAAAGTATATGTAATAAATGCCAGTGGTCCATATATGCCATTTGAGTTTAAACTATATATATATAATAAAATTTATGATGACAATAAAAGGTTTGGAGTCCATTATTGGAGTTTAATAGTAAGTTACGCACATGATAGATAAAAGTGCAAACGTTCGGTTAAATAATGACTTGTAGTCTAGTCATGCAAATTTAATATAAAGTATTGTTTAATCCATCTAAATACAAAAAATCTAAATTATTGTACTACACTAAAAAGCTTTTTTTCTTAATTGCATAAATTCTTTTTGGGTAATTGTTTAAATACTGTATCAATTATAATAAAAATTACTATTTTTTTTTATTTGTGTTATGTTGTAGGTTGGACAAAATATAAAAAATTATTTAAAAAATTCATTTTAGTTTGATGTTCTATGCTATATCATGAGTCTGTCAAAATATATGAAATTAATGGTGAAAAAGTTTTCATCCAATTTTTATAAAGTTTTAATCAAACTTTTGTATTTAATTAATTCTTCTTCATGTTTTTCATAATTTTTGTACCAAAAAAAAAATGATTTATTCTTTTTTATCCATGGATTTTTTTATTAAAAAATTTGTAATAATCTAAAAAAATAATACGAGATAAAAAAAAAGCCTTAATTTTTTTTTATATAAAATTGTGTCGATAAAATAATGTAACAAATGATGTAAAAATTTGTGTAAAAATAAATAAATGAAAATAATTTTTATATATTTATTCATAAAATAATCAGCAATATTAGAATAAAAAACTATATTTAAATAATTAGATGGTTCCACCAAAAAATAATTTTAATTACTTTATTTGAAAGAAATTGAGTCTAGAATATCTAAAAATAAATAAATAGTAAATGGTTTGTGTTTTGCATTTTGTATTGTTGCATAATTAATTATAAAACCAATGACTAAATATTTTTTATACATCATAAATATATTAAGTAGTTTTAGAGTTTGCAACATAAAATAAATAATATTAAAAAAGAGTTAATTTGTAAGTAATGTATTGAATAAATATGAAGTTCATAGATTAAAATAAAAAATTATTATAAAATTGATATTAATAAGTTTTGATTATATAAAGAAGTAGCAAATAAAACACATGAATTCCTTTTCTTTTCTTTTTTTCATTCCTTCTTATATATATATATATATATATATATATAAGCCATACATGACCAATCTTCGTGCACATGCTTCACATACGGAGCAATCATTTTTTTTTTTGTATTTAACTTTCAATTATTAATGAGCTATTTTAAAAATTATTTTTTTCTAAAAACTCCAAAAATAACAATCTATCTTTCATAATTTTTTACCAAAAATTCATAATAAAATAAATTAATGAAAAAAAAAGGAAAAGCAAAAAAATAAAATAAAAGCAAGACAGGGTGTTGGCCCGTGCGCTTGGTAACCAAACCTGCACAGGCAAGACTTTTTTCTTTTTTTTAAAAAAAAAAAAAATAGAAAACAAACAACACGATGTTGGCTCACTATGTAGTAAATGACCTGTTGTCCATCTACAATTTCTGTCGAACTCAAGTTTGCCAAAAATTTAGGTTTTTAATATTTTGCCTTTTCAATCCAAATTCAGTGTCATTTTTTTTGTCCAATAACACTTCAAAATTAATTACAAAAATAAGGTTAATAAACTCATTTAAAATATAAAAACTCATTTTAATGTAAACAAAATATATAAAAATCCAAATCAAAGTAAAAAAAAACTTCAAATTTTTTTAGAATCCAAATCTACGTCTTTCAATTATTTCTTGACTTTTGATCACTACACACAAATTTGTATCTTCAATATAAACAACTTAAATCCAAAATTGAGAGCCAAAGTGACTAGAATGAGTTTCACCATAAATTTCTCACTTGTACCTATTTTATTGTAATTTCTCTCTCCTTTCTACAACTAAGGACCAATCTTGGTACAAACAAAATTTGGAATCAAAACAAAAATGATGAAAAAATCAGGGATTAAAGTGTAATATTAGCGAAAATTTACATATAAAATATCTAAAGAGAACGTAAAATCACTAAATGCCACGGTCCTAAATCACATAAATGTCACTTAGTCTGCAGTGTTTTTTAAAACAATGAACTATAAATGAATAATAGTTTAATGTTTATTTTCTCACCTTTTTGAATTTTATTGTTAATATCCCACGTTACGTTGATATACTTTGACATGTTAATTATTGTTACAAAAAATAGAAGTGATTAAGCATGCATCACTTACAGAAAGAGATCGATCGACTAAAATTGTTGTGAAGGACTTTAGGTCATCGATCGCAAATGAGTTAAGGTCCTTCGAATACATGCAAAGGAGAAGGGCGTTTTGGGTAATGATACGACACCGTTAATTACAACGGGTTTGCAAGCAATTAAATGCTGGTGGGTCGCTTATAGCTGTCCCGTGAAGAAAAACCGATTTATTTCATCAAAAAGTCAAGAGATATCCTAAGAACAACCGACGGTCCCCGAAACAGACCCAAACCTCTTTCCTGCCAGCCTCTCATATTATTGTCATCCAAAAATAAAAATAGAACCCTATACATCTAGTAATATTATTATACAGACAATGTATAGTTTCCTCAACTAATCCCATTTATTTTTTGTTCTTCATTCAGTGCAAGAATTTAAGGGGAAGGCAGCAAAATTAGGTGAGCATTTCCTTTTACGGGGAGAGGAAAAAGATCTGTTAGCCATGATTTAAATCATTGGCGGATGAGAGCATTGCAAAAAATAAATAAATAAATCCGGTAAATAAACTAGTACAAATGTAGAGGCCGTTGGTAATCTAAATCTACTGGGAAAGGTACTTAACCTTGACCCCCAAAATGTCCTTAAAACCAAATAATAATAATAATAATAATAATAAATTAAAAATTGTACATTAGCTAGTCATGATTTGTGTTTATGCACGTGCATGGCATTTGATGGCTTTTTAATTAGGTTAAACAAATTGTAAGGTCTTAAACAGCAGTTCGTTTTTGCTGTCAAATTAAATTAAGTAGGGGTGGCAGTTTTGCCTTAAAAACCTTCAACGACCTCTGTTGCCAATTAATGGCCGAATTTTTATATATATATCATCGTAGTTCTAACTAGTGAGGGCCAGTAAGATAGAGATAGAATGCTAAGACTTCGAGGGATTCAACAACAGTTTCTGGCTCCATTTATTGCTTCTTTGTTAATATCTCTAACCACTCACTATAAAATTTCTTTCTTTTTGATTACTCACACACTACTCCTTCATCCTCTCATTTCTCCTTCTCCTTCTTCATTCTCCAACAACTCTCTGTCCAGCGTTCCCTCCCAGCTCCCTTCTTCATATATCACATGTCCTCCCTTACATATTCTTGATCAGTACGTACTTCTTGATAAAAAAAGATAGATTCAAGAAACAAACGCAAACTTTCTCTTTCTCTCTCTTTTTTTTTTGTCAAAAATCTGATCTGGGTTTTGTTCTTTGTGTCCCTTTTCAAGTTTTTAGCTTCAAATTTACTAGTTCGAGCTTGAAAGTTACACCCCACCAAACTTCATATTTTTGCTACATTTTTCGGTCTTATTATATTCAAGCATTCGTGAGTCTTAGGGCATGGATATGTCAGCTGCTCTGATGATTCTATCAGCATTGGTGGCATACTTGCTTTGGTGGAGTTTCATCTCGCGGTCAATGAGGGGTCCACGTGTATGGCCTCTATTGGGCAGTCTTCCTGGTCTCGTTCAGCACTCTAATCGCATGCATGATTGGATCGCAGACAATCTCCGCATGTGTAGCGGCACGTACCAGACATGCATATGTGCAATTCCCTTTATAGCCCGGAAGCAAGGTCTCGTGACAGTCACGTGCGACCCCAAGAATGTAGAGCACATCTTGAAGGCCAGGTTTGATAATTATCCAAAGGGACCCAATTGGCAATCTGTGTTCCATGATTTGCTTGGCGATGGTATCTTCAACTCAGATGGCGATACATGGCTGTTCCAGCGTAAGACGGCCGCCCTTGAATTTACCACCCGGACACTACGACAAGCCATGGCGAGATGGGTGAGCCGAGCCATCAAGCATCGGTTTTGCCCTATACTTGAGTCGGCTCAGCTGCAAGCCAAGCCTGTTGATCTTCAAGACTTGCTACTTCGGCTCACTTTTGATAACATTTGTGGGTTGACTTTCGGCAAGGACCCGCAAACTTTGTCGCCTGAACTCCCCGAGAATGGCTTTGCCGTGTCTTTCGACAGAGCGACGGAAGCCACTCTGCAACGCTTCATTTTGCCTGAAATAGTGTGGAAGTTGAAGAAATGTCTTCGGCTTGGGATGGAAGTCAGCTTGAGCCAAAGCCTTGAACACATAGACGCATACTTGGCAGACATCATCAATGAACGTAAGCTCGAATTGCTTAGTCAGCAGAAAGGTGGCAGTGGAAACCCGCATGATGACTTGTTGTCTAGATTTATGAAGAGAAAAGAATCCCACTCAGACAAATTTCTTCAACACGTGGCATTAAATTTTATCCTAGCCGGACGTGACACATCATCGGTGGCATTGAGCTGGTTCTTCTGGCTAGTAAGTCACAATCCAGAAGTGGAGGAGAAAATCCTCATCGAAATTTGTACCGTTTTGATGGATACACGTGGAAATGATACTTGCAAGTGGTTGGAGGAGCCATTAGTGTTTGAAGAAGTTGACCGATTGACGTACCTTAAGGCAGCATTGTCTGAGACCTTAAGGCTTTACCCTTCTGTACCTCAAGACTCAAAGCATGTGGTTGCTGATGATGTTTTGCCAACTGGAAATCTTGTTCCGGCAGGATCGTCCATAACATACTCAATATATGCAATTGGTCGGATGGAATTTTTCTGGGGTGAAGATTGCCTACAATTCAAGCCAGAAAGATGGTTATCCTTGGATGGCAAGAAAATTGAGGTACAAGATTCTTATCGGTTTGTCGCCTTTAACGCAGGTCCAAGGATCTGTTTAGGCAAGGATTTGGCTTATTTGCAAATGAAGTCGATCGCAGCAGCAGTGTTGTTGCGCCACCGGCTCTCGGTGGTGCCCGGCCACCGTGTGGAGCAAAAGATGTCATTGACATTGTTTATGAAGTATGGTCTGATGGTTAATGTGCACCCCAGGGACCTGAAGCCTGTTGTGGAAAGTATGTGCAAAAATGCTGTTCCTAACGGTAATCATGATCGTGGGGTTGAATCGGTTACTCCAGTTTCCGAAGGGAATTACTGACGAATATATATCACCAATGATTTACAAGGCCGGCAGATATATATTTTACTGCATACATACTTTATGTAACTTCCAAGACACGATCGGGAGTACCGTCTGTCCTGGAAAATCATGGCTGCTATAATATCGATCTGTCAGGTTTTCTACTTCTTAATTATATATACGTATGTGTGTGTAGTAGTAGTATAGGGGGAAGGGAAGAGTGGTGATGTTGTGCTTTTAATTTGAGTGATTCTATATATATATATATATGGACATCTTACTTATAGCCAAAGGTTTCTATAGAAACTGTAATATTAATTAATTATTGCTGCCAATAATGAACTTGGCAAATACACAAGTCAGTGTAATTTTGTACCAGAGACAAAATATTTGATAAATAAAACGAAGTTCTGGTTTTAATCTATTTTACTTAATTTGGTCTGTACACTATTTCTGATCTGAGGATATATGGAGAATATATATATATAGAGAAAAGAGCAAATTAAAGATCCTGAGAAATTAATAAGCCATCCATTTCTACATCTTAATTACCATATTTGCTTTGGGTTGAGAAAGCGGGAGAGAAGGGTACGTAGCTACGCAGATTAACATTTAATTTCCTCCAATTTCTTATCTCCTCTTATTAATTAACCTTGTTCTCAATTTGGATAATATTTGATTCCAAGTAACTTCAAACAGTTTTTTTAATAAAATTAGACAAATAATTTTTATTAACATACAAAGCATTTCATGAATTTTGATAGTTTTCCCCAACTCTTACAAGTGTCTTTTAAAAATATATGACAAATTAAATCTGATTTTCTTACAAATTTGGACTCGTGGTCTTTCTTGGAAAGCGATTGCAACTTTATCTATGCTACTGTATTATGCAAAACATCAAAAAAAAAAAAAAAGTGTTATGCAAAACATCTATTTTTACAATTACATTCTTTGTTATCATAATCTTTAACGTTTTATTTTCAACCGAATATCACATATATGCATGGCCCAAATTAGATAAAAGATAAGACAATGTTCGAGAGATTGAGATATTAGGCAAATTCAATTTACTTGTTGCTTGTAATTATTAATTATGTGGTGGATGGGATTGGTGGATTCGCCCAGCTAGGCAAGTATCCTCTCATTGTGCTTATCTTGTAGTCCCACAGCATTTTCGGTCACTCTCATAATAGCTTTTCGTGCAAGCAATCTATATTGGTGTTGATTAAAATATGGTAATTTTTTCATTAAAGGTGTATTCACGAAACTTGCATGAGACTAAGGTCATGTGCAATGTCTAGGAAGGATTAATTTTTCATCATCAAAGATCAATCTCTCATATAAAAGGGCAACTCTTTTGTCCTTTCCTGATTTCGTTGCCATATGTGTTCCATTTTTTTTCAAGTCAAAAAAAAAAAAAAAAAAAAAAAACGTTCCTTAAAGAACTCTGTAAAGCATTAATTAATTTTGAAATAGCATGCATTGTTGAAAACCTAATCTTAATTATATACATTTGGAATGTATTTTTCTGAACGCACTAAATATAATCAAATGATTTAATCTTGATTAACTTACAAGTTGACACGAAAACATACTCCTTACTATCGAACTAAAAAAATTACTATTGCTAAAAGGGTTAATCCAAAATGAAATACTTGCTAAAATGATTAATCCAAGATGAAATACATGGAACTGAAAATCAGATTTAAGTATGTCAAAAAAAATTAAGACAAAAGGACAAACGAATTTTGCAGATCAAACTAAAAAAGAATGGTGTGTAATAGGCAAAAGCTATTTTTAAGGGGATAGAGAAAGCTGACTTTCTATCCTTAATTAGGTGGTTAAACATGTTAAAAAAAATTTTTTTTTTTTTACTAGAAAAAAGAAACAAAATTTTCTCTTTTGAGGAATTGAATTGAAAAATATTAAAGAAAAAAGACCAAATATATTGTATTATTAAGGGGAAGGGGGCAATTTTTTTAACCTTGGATCCGTCCCTAGCTTGCTGCACCACCATGATTAGGCCCGTGTTTGATTTTAGTGTGTTTTCAGTAATGCGATGCATGTATTTTTATAAAAAGTATTTTTCAATTAAAAACACAATAATTTGATTTTTTTTTTCAGATATATTTTATTACCTTAAACATCTTCACATCAAACACATTTGAAAGAACATTTTTTTCAAGTATTTTTTTATTAGTTTTGATATCTTCACATTAAAATTATTTGATGTTTTTTTACAGTCCAAAGTGCAAACGAAAAACACTTTAAAAAATGTATTGAAATCGCATTACCAAACAGCGCCTTTACATACAAACCGAAATAAATGCTTGGGCCTAGGAATTGGGATGGAAATTAGACTAGGGTCTCGCTCTCGCATCCTTTTATACACTTCGGCCGTTTGCTCTATAATAATCTCTAGGGCTAATTCCCTAACCTATTGGGCTATTGAGCTCAATCCTTATGTGCCTATGTATGGGCTTCGACCTCTTGTATACATTGGCTTTTGTCGATATGAAAAATCAAAGAAAGAACTTTTTAATATACATGTTTGCAAATAATAAGGTATCAATATATCCTTTATAGACCAAGAGTAGTTTGGGGAAGGGCATTGTTACTTGCGCAATTTGTGCATATATGATCGATAATTTCATTTTAAAATCTTTTTTTATATAATGTATCAAAAGCAATACAGATCATTATAGTAAATGAAGAAAGACAATTTTTTTTTTTTTTACGATAGCAACATGATTGTCTTTTTTTTAAAAAAAAAATTATATAGGTAAGCTTGTTCATGAAAATATCAAAGATTGATTATTTGTGTACATGGGTTTCGATTACAAAAAAGGTAAAGTTATATTCAACTTGTTTGTTTGTCTTCCGAGGCACGCAAAATATTCATGTTGAGTGGGCGTTAAAAGTTGGTCGAACCTATGCAATTTACTTTGATGAATGAAATATGAGTATTTAAAAGCACAATAGTGGGAAATGCTTCAAATAACCACCTAAAAGATTCATGAGTTTCATTATAGAGCAATGTTGCATAAAATGTAATGATTTATTTATGATGATTAACCTTAATTAATGGAGCAAAAGGTCAAATCACTACTAGAAAAATACGAATTAACGATAAATTAGTAACGGATTAGAGACGGACTATAAAAGGTTGTGTTTTACGATGAATTAGTGACGGACTAACGAGGGATAATTAGCAATGGCAAAAAATTCATCGCTAAATAAGGTGGGGAAAAAAAGCGCCAAAATTAGAGACAGATTTTAATTTTAGCGACGGACTTCAAATTTATCATTAATTTGTGCCTTTTTTGGGGGAAAATTCTCCCAAAATGGCCTAAAGTTAGCTACGGATTCCAAAATTTGTCGCTAAAATTAGGGACGAACTTCAAGTCCATCGCTAATTAGCAATAGACATCAACTCCGTAACTAATTTATGCCTTTTTTGGAGGGAAATTCTCCAAAAATAGCCTAAAATTAGCAACATGATTTTGGAATCCGTAGCTAAAATTAGGGACGGACTTCAAGTTCGTCGCTAATTAGCGACGGACATCAAATTCGTCATTAATTTGTGCCTTTTTTGGGGGTAAATTCTCCCGAAATGGCCTAAAATTAGCGTCGTAGCTAATGGTTGAGATTTTGGGAGGAAATTTCCCCCTAAAATCCCGATCGAGTAGCGACGGACGTCACGTTCGTCGCTAAACTTTGAGAATTTAGGGGGAAATTTCCCTCTAAATCGGCGACGGACTCGTAATCCGTCGTTAATCAATGAGGGATTAGTGACGAAATCGGATTTGTCACTATTTTGCCTTTATATATACCCTCTTCTTCTTATTCTCCATTTGCTTCCCTCACATTTACCACACCTCCTCTTTCGTCACCGCCCACAAAAATGCCCACCCACGCCACCCTATACCACTAAATCTTTTTCAAAACCGTTCAACAAAGTGAGGGGTATCTTTCTCTCTCAAAAATCGGATCATATATGTGTTCTCTATCCTTGATCTATTGGGTAAAACTTTCTCTCTATAACTCGTTATATTTTTTTTAATTAGATAATTGTTATAAATTTTTATTTAAATTTTGTTATTTGTTATTTTATTAATTGTTTGAATATTGTTAATTATCTTGTTATGTTAATTTTTTGTTATGTTAAGTTGTGTGTAGTAGTTTAAATTTGTTAGTTGTTATTTTATTTTTATAAGCTGTTAGATTAATTTTGTTAAGTTTTATTTTGTTGTTATGTTAATTTTTAGGTTAATTTGTATGTTAACGTAAAACTTAAAAATTTAAATTTTGTTAATTTTTAGTTGTTAGATTAAAATTTAATTATTTAATCTTAAATTGTTATTTTAATTAAGCGAATTTGTCATAGGACGACGTCGGCGATGAGGTAAACATAAGAAAAATGATTGGAGTCACCACCTAGTATTACGGTTACTAGGAAACCTAGTGATTGGTCCGTTCGCAGTTTCGGGTAAAGGGTTTATTACGTGTAGGGAAGATCAAAAGTCACCCTACCCCGTCCCGCCTAAGGCAAGTCGCATTGCATGCAAAACCGATTTGATTTCTGATTTTTTTTTTATGATGAAAGATTATGTCCATTTTTCAAGTATTTGCCTATTGGTCGAGTGATTTGGGACTTGATCGATCGGAGACCTTATCCTCAATCTATAATGCATGGCTAAGAAATGATGGATGCAAAGATATGTGACTAATATGACTTAAATGATGAGCATGAAAACAAAATTTAAGAATGGACAAATAGGCAAACAAACGGGACGGATAAGTTGGCAAAATAGGCAAACATGCGTAAATATACGAATAAGCAATTAGGCAAAATAGACAATAATTGACAAATAAGCAAAATGGGCAAATTGGCGAATAAGTAAACAAGCGAATAGAAAAAATAAGCAAAATTGACAAATTGACGAGATGAGCAAAATTGACAAATTGGCACGGGCGACAAGCGAGCAATTAGGCAAAATAGCAAAAATTGACTAAGTGGCAAATTGATAAATAAGGAAACGAGCAAATAGGCAAAATCGACAGATTGATAAATAGGCAAAATTGGCAAACTAGCAAATCGACGAAATCGACAAATTGATAGTTAGGCAAAAATCAACAAATAAGCAAAAATTGACAAATAGGAAAAATAGGCAAAATAGACAAAAATCGACAAATAGGCGAAAATTGAAAAAATAGGCAAAAATCGACAAATAGGCCAAAAATTGGTAACTTGACAAAAATAGGTTAAAATCAACAACTTAGGCAAAAATCAACCACTTAGACGAAAACATGCTAAAATCGACAACTTAGGTAAAAATAGGCTAAAATCGACGAACTTAGGAAAAAACAAGCTAAAATCGACGACTTAGGTAAAAAAAATAGACTAAAATCGACGACTTAGGAAAAAATAAGCTAAAATCGACGAGCATAGGCAAAACAAGCAAAAATCGACGACTTAGGAAAAAATAAGTAAAAATTGACAACTTAGGCAAAAATAAGTCGACATCGGTGACTTAGACTAAAATAGGCTAAAATCGACAAACTCAAACACAAGTAGGCAAAACTTGACGGGAACTCGACAATTGGACTAAAAATGGACAAAGCATAAAAATTGACGAAATTAATTACTTTGGTAAGCATAATCAATCATGTTTGATGAAAGCAGAGTTACATGGTAACAATTCAAACTTTCTTGACTCGGCGTTGTGTTTTTTTATAAAATCACCATACGAGATGCCTCTTTAAAATATACATTTCGAATAACAAATACCCAAACGTTCAAATTGACGCATCATTCATCGTCATACGGCAAAATAACAATGCACATCATCTCAATTCAAACAAATTGCACATGAACAAATAAATCAAATTAATTACAACACATTCATTTAATTAATTGTGTTGTAATTAATTAATTACATGAAACATATCAACACGAATCAAATTTAATACCTATTAAAATAGAAATAAAACAAAATAAAATAAAAAGTGAAAAAGATTACCGTAAAGAAAATGAAGTCTGGATCTATTCGTTTGGCGATCTTAAAATCATATCCGACCTTTTCAACCCCGATGAAGATCGATACTTGGTCAATCGGGAAGGAAAGGTGGATAGAACGGTGGCTACTGCGGTGGAGTGTGGGAAGGCTTGCTGTGTGTGGTGGCTATTGGAGAAAGCGTTGGCGCACTCGAAAGAAGGGTCGTTGGCGAGGCGGCTCGCTGCCTAGCTCGAACTCGCTAGGGGTTTTAGTGGCTACTTTGGTGGTTTAAGGGTCTGTCCGAAGAGGTTGCTCTATAAGGGTTTTTGAGGTCATTGACAATGGTTGAAGGATTGTAAAGGCTTTTGTTGGTGGTCGTTTTGGGCGGCTTTGGGACTTGTTTTAGGGTTATCTCAAAGCTGGATTGGTGATGTTTGTTAGGGTATTTTGGTGATTTAAATGAGTTGTTCGAAGCGGTTGCTCTGTAAGGGCTTTTGGAGGTCGTTGGTAATGGTTGCGGGGTTGTAAAGGCTACTGTTGGTGGTCGTTTTAGGTCCGGTTTTTGGGCGGTTTTGGGACATGTTTTGGGGCTATCTCAAAGCTGGATTGGTGATGTTTTTTAGGGTATTTTGGTGATTTAAATGAGCTATCTAAAGGAGTTTCTCTGTAAGAGCTTTTGGTAATGGTTGTCCTTCCTTTTTCGTGAAAGATTTACGCTAACTTTGTTCAACCAAAATTTTGACCATTAGAAAGATTTAATCTTGAATTAGTGTCTTCATAAGAATTATAGGCCCCATGTTATCTTTCCAACGTAAGCGGCCTTTTATTAATTGGACTCTTATACCACAAGATATGGATTTTGAATCGAAAAGGCCTTATTGTTAAAAAAAACTTGCTGGACAAATTCTGAATTCTGAATTGTAGCCCCATTTTGACTTTTAAATATTCTGAATTAGGCTTTTGACTCTTCATAATAATTTTAACTCGGTCTATTAACTTTTCAAATAGCCTAAGATCATCCGATTTGGATGTCCGTAGCCCAAGTTATTATCAAAATACGAAACAGGTGTGAGGGTCGGAATGGCCTATGGCATGTTGGCTTGGGCGGAGGAGGCTGTGGCGTGTTGGCTTAGTGCGGGATGAAGGCTTGTGTGGAAAATAGCATGAGGTTGGTAAGAGGGCGTGTGTGGGCAATAGTGTGAGGCTAGTGAGAGGGGCTAAGGGTGCTTGGTGTGAGGAAAAGCGAGGCGGTCGAAAATGGGTGAAGAGTTTGTGACATGGGAAAAGGCTGCTTGTGGCATGAGAGAGGGTTGTTATGGGAGTTGCTTGTGGCGTGAGAGAGGAGCTAAAGGTATGGGTTAGATTGGCTTATCAAAGGAAGGGGCTGGTATGGAAAGGTTTCGGGTGAGAGAGAGAGTGGCAGTCATGGTGTATAGCGGTTGAATGTGTTTTAGGTGGGAGAGATGAACGATGAATCGGTTGAGGATGGGTGTGGGGGAAAGAATAGGTGTTTGTAGGGTGGTTATGGTGGTTTTTTTCAAGGAAAGAAAAGGAGGAAAGGGGCTGCCATAGAGGAACTTTTCGGGTGAGGAAAAGAGAAGGGTAATGTCGACTGTAAGGGTTTTTCTTGTGAAGGTGATGGTGAATAGTGGCTACTTGTTTTTTAGGGAGAAAGGTTTGTTTTTATATTAGGTTTTTTAAGGTTTTTTTTGGCTAAAAGTCTTTTTGGTCCCCCATTTTATAAACCCACTTTATTTTGGTTCCTTTCTCCTTTGTTTTCCAATTGCACCCCCACATTATTATTTTTACTTCCTTTTCTTTTCTTTTGTTTCTTTTTCTTTTTTCTCTTTTTTTTTTTTTTTGAACTAAAATTGGATGCTAACGGAATTAATTATATATTTATTTTCTTTTAGTGTTAGGTTAATTTTGTTAGTTGTTTATTTAAACTTAATTTTGAAATTATATAATTTTTGATGTAGTTTAGTTAAATTTGGTTGAAATTATATAATTTTGACATAGTGTAGTCATTTCGAATATAAAATTTTATAAGTAATTTTATTAGTTTAATTATTAAATTTGAAATAAGATAACATCCATAATGATTTGATCATTCCTTCCACTTAGCTTCCAGTTTAACCTCTAATCGATCCTCCAAGTCGAGCCCTCCACACGAGTATGAGGATGAGGATATGGGATTAGACGAATAGGATGAGTTATATAATATTCGAGTTACTTTTTTTTTTATGGAACATATTCTAGAATAATTTTGTTATTATTATATTATTTTTCATATATACGTGATTACTTATGATTGTTTATTATTAATTATTAATTATTAAATGTCATATTAATAATTTAATTTTGAAAAATGTCAACAAAAGTGATAGAATTGTCAAAATTTTGTTTTTGAAATTAGTGACGGAATAGCGATGGATTGATGACAATTTGATTTTTCAAAATTAACGACAGATTAGTTGTGAAAAAAGAAGAAGCAATCTTATGACAAGATTAGCAACGGATTGTCCATCATTAAATTTAGCGACGGATCGAGTATTCCTTCGTAAAAATTTAGCGACCAACGAAAATAGTGATGGAATATTCCGTGGCTAAACTCAATTTTTTTTGTAGTGAAACATTGGCATTTTTTTGTTATAAATCATGTCAAAGCAAACATCTCCTAAATATTATAATCAACCACCGATCAAGAATATGTCTAAAAGATATTGTTGATGAGATCATCGTTATCATGGTTTACAAAATAAGAGCATTTGAATCCTAGAAAAATATTAATGCATGTCGAGTAGTGGATGGAAAAATATGGATACAAATATACGTTGTGGTTGCAAAAAATTGAATAAGGATTGTTGTAATCAAAGATAATTTATAAATATTAATAATTCAACATACACATCAATGATGATGGTCGAGTGTAATTGTCTATAAAAAAATCTATAGCCACATGGTTTTCTAAAACAACAAATAACTAAAGTATTTTTCCTAGTGTTATGAACAAACCGAAATAGTAGCTCAAAACAATGTGAGGCATGCAATGAGCTTAACAAAAGGATCGTGTCAAATTGAGTAAAAATGTGGTAGTGATGTGGTCAATATATCCCTTAAAAGTTATATGTTGATGAAATTTACTAGATATATTGTAATTCATATAGTTTCTACCAACAATGTTGTTGCATCTTTTTATCAACAATGAAGTCTGTCATAGAAAGCAAATTAGTTTCAAAAGGTTTTTGTCATAGAAGAATTATGGTATTGCTATTAGTTATTATTCGTTTTAGGAGGAGTAACGACGAACTTGTTGTTTTTTTTTTAAAGAGGTGGAGAAGTATTGAGATTTGTTATATCTATAAATTCTTCGATTACCTATAATGACTTAGAACCTCTAATCCGGTTCAACAAAAAAGTTGCAATGTGTGAAAAGGTTAAGAAATACAAGACACACAATATAATTATTTATGAGTAGGTTGAAAATGTTAGTATTAGCCAACTAGGCATAGAGACTATGGTTTAAAAAAATTCTTCAACGATATAGATACGACACTTGACATACTATTCGTGAAAATGATAAATTTTAAAATGGAGAAAGAACTATATAAACAAATTTTATTTGTATCAAAAAGTCATATTCATTTAAAAGAAAAAATTTCAAAAGAACAAAATCCAAAGGTTAGCGAGTTGTACTAAAGTTGATAACATATTAACTTAATTGTGAATCAACAGAATAAAATATATATTATAATAAATGAAAAGAGAAGTTGAGAAACAACAAAGATAAAAATATATTAAATGATGTGTCAATAGTAGAACCACCTCAAATACCATTCATGATCGAGTAAATTCCAATACAAGACATAGAGATGGTAGTCACTTAGTTGTTTGTCTAGATAGTACCAAAAAGGAATCCAATTCATAACAATTGATGAAGAAATAACAACGAAAGTATAAAAAACCTAATAACTAATAAAAAGAATACATGGAAGCATTCAAAACAAATAATCCACAAAGCAAAAAGGCCAAAAAAAAAAAAAAAGGACTACTTTCAAGAGTTTTAGGAAAATTATGAAAACAAGAGTGCAAAACACAACATACAAAGTGAAGACAAAAAAAATAGACATCATGCTGAAAAAAAAAAAACTACGGATATAGGAACAAACAACAAATACATAGTCAACAACAAAAACTAAGGAAATAAGAAAATAGAAAACAAATAGAGATAGGCTGAGCAACATAAATAGGAAAAACAAACAAGAATCTTTGCAACAAAAAAAAAAAAAAAAGAGACAAATAGTTCAGCAAAGAATCCATAGAACACTTTTTTTAAAAAAAAAACAAATAAAAATATTTTTTTTACTACATGGTTCATATAATTAACAAATACAAACCTTCGGTTTCCACTAGACAATGTTGTTTGGTTCATGTAATTGGGTTTAGGTTGACCACCCACCTTTTTTGCATAATCTAAAGAAACACTAAAATAAATTTTCAAAACAAGCTAAACAATACGACGAAAATTGAATCCATCCAAATGAAGTCTAATTGCTAGTCACTCGCAATTAGAGATCCAAAGAGCAAGAAAAAAAACCAACAAAAATAAGATCGAATAGCTTTTTAACGATCAAGAAACTTCTTGCTTGAACATTGCTTTAGCTTCAATTCTAACAACCAACAAAATTATATGTTGTGATTTCTAATTCTACGAAGAGAACAAATAATCACATTTATTTAATTTCAATGTTAAAATGAAAAAAATTAAAGCAAAGAGAATTATAAGATGATATAGTTGATGTGAGAAATGATTTGATTAGAGAGATTTTATTGCCTTTTTTATTTGATTAGAAAGAGAAATCACAAATGTTTGAAATTTAGAAATGGAAAAGTTGAGAAACTAGGTAGAAAAATCACATTTTTCCATTTCTAATTTTACGAAGAAAATAAATAGTTACAATCATTGAATTTCGATGTTAAAATAAATAAAAAATTAAAGTAGATCGAATAAGAGAATGGTATGGTTAAGGTGAAATAAAGAAATAATTTGTTTAAAGAGATTTTTCTTTCTTTTTTGTTTGATTGCGAGAGAGAAATCACAAATATATTGAAATCTAGAAATAGAGAAGTCGAGAAAATTGACTCGGATTTGATTCACATGAAAAAGAAAAAGGCTACATGTGAGAGAGAAATGCATTATGGGTTTTGATGGATTATAAACTTTTAGAGATAATGATTGAAGTTGTGGAAATCATTTCTTGGTTAATAAAGATTACATTATCTATAATTTGTGTTAGATTAATGGGATTTAGGGTTGTTTAGGAATTTTGAAATAAAAGAAATAGGAGAGTAAGGGCGATTGAGTTTGCTTAGACAAGAGCTCAAAAATAGAAAAGAATTTGGGAATCTAAGATTTTGAGATTTAAGAATTTAGCAAACGCATAATTTGTGTTAGATTCGTGAGATTTAGGGTTTTTTGGGGATTTAGAAACAAAGAAAAATGGGACAATAAGGGAAATTGAGTTTGCCAACAAGAGCTCAAAAATGCAAAAGAAATTGGGATTGGGTGGTATAATATGCATGAGGCATTTTCATCTTTTTATTTTCACTTTAATATACCAAACATTAGTTTAATATATAAATCTTTTTAAATTTATTACTTTTTGGTTTTGGAATCATAATTTCACAATTGAGACCCGTATTTTCACGTATCGGTTCTCGATTAGTTACTCGTTATTTTTAATATGCCACTTTGGCTTCACAATTGATGGAGGGTTTCGATCAATAAATTTATAAGAGTAGAAGATTTCAATTAAATTGAAAAATTGTAAAAAGTCTAAAAAAAAAATTACAACTACACATGGATTAATATGGGATAAACCCGATATAGGATAGCCACGAGAGCACTTCATTGTTTAGTGCATTAAAATTAACCAAAAAAAAAAAAAGATACGACAATGATGCTATTTCGGGTGGTTGGAATTTTAGAAGAGATAACAAAAACATTTTATTTATTTGTTATTATTTTGTGCTTTACTCCATGTGTGAATAATTTGTTCGGAATCTAACTAGAAAGACTTAATTTTGAAAGTGTCCTTGCACATATGCGAAGCTTCCTTTATTTGTGGAGTTATTGGTGGTAATTTAAGGATTCCACAAGGACAATTGATGACCCTCGCATCACTTTCTCTGAATCAACACTTTCCTGTTTTGCTTTTAATGGAGCTCGCAAATATCGTTCCAATTGAAACAAAAAAAGAGGCTAATTACATGTATCAGACAATTAATTGAGTGTATCTTTGCTTTTCTCTTTCGTCAATTTTAGTCAAGGGAATGAATTAGAAGGGCAAATTATTTCTTTCTTTTTTCTTTTATAACATAATAGAAAATGTTTAATTAAAAGAAAGACAAAAAAATTAGGAGGAAACCCTTTTTTTCCCCTAGATAAACAATTCGGCGAATGCAATTGAAAAGTCGTAGTAATAATTCTTATAAAACTTTTTCTACAAGATAATATTATCGTAGGACTACTTTAATTTTTATTTATTTATTTATTATTATTATATAGTGTAGTAAATTAGCAAAGAAGGTCATATTGAGGAAGTTGTGGGTTATGTTTTAATAAAATTAGGCGTGGTGGATGGAGCACCCCATATGGTGATAATGACACTTGAACCGTTGGGTCAGTGGACGGCACGTAAAGCCTTGAAATTCCTCTGCCTTTTTCTCCCCCAATTCTCTCTGATATTATCGTTACGTTCCACTCGTCCTTTTTAATTGGGAAAGGTACTGTGAATGCCAACGTTAAAAAAAATATTATGGCTATTAATGTATTTGTATCGAGTATCATCCTATCCTAGCTGAGTGGATCCAAATCAGAAACCAAATCAGCCGTAGTTTAGAGAGGACCTGTTCGTTTTTACCAATCATTGATCCAACAACTTCTACTCTGCACCTCTAATGAAAAAATAAGGAGCTTTTTTTAACACAAACTACAACTTCTAATCTATACCTTTTATATGGAACATCTTCTTCCATTTTAACAAAAAGAAACTAAATAAAATTTTTTTTATTTTTAATCATCACACTTTAAATTTAAAAAATACGGTTTTACAAGAAAAAAATAAAAAATAATTAAAAAAACTAAAATAAAATGATCGATTACTATTCATTGTATTATTTGAAACACTTTTTACTCGGATTCATTAGTACTATTCATCAAGATTCAAATGCACTTGTTCCTTTCATTGTATATTGACATTTTTTTTAATTTTTAAATATTTTAAAAGCATTTATTATAAAATTTTTCCTAACATCATACTTTGATTTTTTTTAAATATTATTTTTTAATCCATAAATATTTTTTGTTTAATTCCGATCCTTTTTTTTTTTGTTTCATTTTGGTCACTTTAATTATTTTTTCTATGATTTTTTTAATTAGAAAATTTAAGGTAAAAAAATATTTAGAAAAAAAATATTTACAAAATATTTTTTTAGCTAAGAATCCATTGATTTTAATATTTTTTGTACTATTCTAAATTTTTTAGTTTATGGATAGAGATAAATAAATAATATTTTTAATAAAAAATTTATGAAAAATATAACGAATAATCGATTAAATAAAAAATTTTGATTAAAAAATTAAAAAATTAAATAAATTTTTATTCGAGTTTTGATTTGATATATTTTAATATATGTATAATATAACACGAAACATCGGACTAAAATAATTTTTAAAAAATAATTTTTTGTGTTACATCCAATAGGCGACATAACGTCTGGTAAAAAAATTAATATGTTATGAACAAATCCTTACCACCGAGAAAGCTATTTTTTAAAAAACCCATTTCTTTAGTTTTTGAGAGTCTTTTGATTTTTTTTTTCAATTAGTGCGATCGTTTGTAGGGGTGAGCAAACGGATCGGTTAATCGAAAACCGAATAAAATCGGACCGAATTATGGAATTTGGTTTGATTTTGAATTTGAAATTTTACAATCTATAACCAAACCGAAAAACCAAAATTTATTTCGGTTCGGTTTTTTTTTAAAAAATTCGATTCAAACCGAAAACCAAAATTCATTCCTAATCTAATTCTAATTTCTAAATCCTTAACCCCATGTCCTAACTAGCCGACGCCTCACGCTTCGTCTTCTTCCCAAATGACCAAACCTCCTTGACTCCTTCGGCTTCATTCCCTTCTCCTCCACTCCACTCCTTCGATCTCCAGTCTAATCTCTCACTCTCTCTTTCAACTTTATTCTCATCATCTCACTGGTCACTGGCTCACTGCTTCGTCTTTTTCCCAAACGGCCAAACCTCCTTGGCTCTTTCGGCTTCATTCCCTTCTCCTCCACTCTCCACCCGGTCCTCCGACCTCCAAGCTCCACTCTCTAGTATGCTCACTCGTCACCTCTCACAAGTCGAAGTCACAAGTGTATGGGCTTGAACAATGGAAGTATAACTCTCTTTTGAGTTTGAAATTTGATTGTGTGAAATTTTTTCTAGTCAATTTATGAGTATTCGGCCTTTGTATATCAGCAACTTCATGTACAACATTGAACATTTCTTTTTTGAATTTAGGAAAAAGGGTTGCATAATTTGTAAGCCTCTGCTACCCTAGTAAGCTTTAAGCTCATCTAGCTCCTAATTTTATAGCATGTTGTTTATTATAAATATTTGCTGCTTACGGTTGAACAATGCGGGTTCCATTTTTGTTTTTCCTAGTTTTGAGGCATGCTAGTTATTTAATAGTTGGCTTTTTTTTTTTCTCCAATTTGTTTCAAGCAAGTTCAATCTGCTCTAATTTTCTATCTTTAAAATCCAAGTTAAATAATTTTGAGGCATGCTTCGATACTTACGGTTGAACAATCTGGGTTCCATTTTTGAGGCATGCTAGCTATTTAATAGTTGGCTTTTTTTTTATTTAATTTGTTTTAAGCAAGTTCAATCTGATCCAATTTTCTATCTTTAAAATGCGGGTTGTCCTTTAATTGTTGATAGATAATAGGATTGGTTTCTTTGATGGAAGAATGGAAGTAGCACTTGCTGCATAGAAACTCTCTCAAATTCAAAGCCTTTTACAGTTGAAAATTCCGTGGAATTCATCAATTCAATACCTCATAACCTTTATGTAATTTGTTCTTACTATTTCTTTCTTATCAAATATTATAATTTCTATAATTTGCACCCTTATATTTATAGTAACTCTTGCCTCATTAATTTTTCTTATTTTGATAAATTCAAAGTTCCATTTTTTGTATCTGGCCTCCACTTTATTAATTACACCATTTGTTACTCAAATTAAATTTTGATAGTGTGTTAAGGAATGGAGAACTCAACTAACTAGACATATATGCTTCACCGCACAAAAAACATATTTTGGGGTCACGGGGAATCCCTCTTCTTTCACGAGCATAAATGCTTTACCGCATGAAACATTTAAAATTTAATGTTAAAATCTCACACCCAATGGCCAATGCCTCCAGTCTCGACTAACCACCCTTTATTTTTGTAGCATATCATGATTCATTTGTTTGTTTATGGAATACTTAATTAACTCGAGATATATAATATAATAATCTTTTCAAGAAATTAAAATCATTGAAATTTGAATTTGTTCAATGAAAAAGGTTAGTTCCATGATAGCTTAACCAAGCATATAAGCTGACATACATGGTGAAGTAACTAGTTAGAGAATCTAAATACATACCTGTTTTTTTTTTTTTTGTCTTACATCAAAAAGTTTGGTTAAACCGAATTATTTCGAAACCGAACCGAAATAATTCGATTTCAAACCGAATCAATCGAATTAATTTTGGTTCGATTTTAGTTTTCATTTTTTCTAATTCGATTAACCGAAAATCAAACCGAATTAAGCTTAATCGAACTCGTTTAATCGAATGATCACCCCTAGTCATTTGTAGTGCTTTTTCCTTTTTTTTTTTTTTTTTTTTTTGATATTTCTCTTTCATTAATTCAAGGCTAAGGCTTTATGCCTTCATATCTAACTTTTTTCATTTTGTAATATCTAGTGTATTTGATTTTCTTATCCTTCCGGATATTTTTTTTTAGAGTTCATATATTTTTTTTATTTATATAGAGTTTTCAATTAATATTCATTCTATAAATTTGAATATATTGAAGCTGATTTGATGGACAATAATGCCATTAAATTGAAGATTATGGTCCTTTTTTACTGTACCATATAATTGTTTTGCTCTAATTTTTTTTGATGTAATATTTATTTAATCATTTTATTTGTCTTTGAGTGCTATATGAGGTTATAAAACACACTTTGCATTACTAATTTATTAACGAAATCTTTAATATTTGAAAGAAAAACTTACCATCGGAAGACATAAATCACATAATCATACACAAAATGAGTAAATCATAAATTTATTTCTCTGGTTTTGAAAAAAATATTAATTAATCATCTTTTTTTTTAAAATTAATTATTTAAGTTTTTAATAAATATTGATAACGTTTAATTTAATATTATTTTATTTAATTTTTCATAATATCTATTTATTTTTTATTTAAAAAATAAAAAACATAAAATGGATAAAAAAGTAAATAATAAGTATTTTTTTTTCAAAATTAAAAAAACTAATTTATAATTTACTCCACAAAATAAATAACGTTAAAAATACCAATTAAAAAAAAAAGGTAAAACGAAGAATCTTCCAAACAAACCCAATTGCGTAAAGCAAGACAATGGAATAAATGAAGCAAGCCGTTAAAAAATAACCTACAAAGAAATGGAAAAACTAACAATCAAATGCATCACATAACACATAAACCCCCTGCTCCCTCACCGAGAAATGGACCTAATCATATGCCGAATTACATCATCACAGTCAATTGAAAGTCGACCAACGGTCACGATTTCAACCACCAGTTACTATCATACATCACCAGTCTACTGCGGTCTTCCCTTTTTCCAATAATTAATTTCTTTCTCTCTCTCTCTCCTCTCACTCTAAAAAACACACACTGTATCTCTCTTTCTCTCTCTAAATGAAGCTTTTGTTTCTGTTTTGCTTTCTCACTATGCATTTCTTTCCTTTGTGACTTTTCAGTTTCTCTTCTCTCTCTTTCTTCTTGTCTGAAGCGAACTTACACTTCTATTTTGAGCTCTATAGATATTTTCACTTACGCTGTAAGTAAAAGACTAAAGCCTTTGCCTTGCTATTTTGAGCTTGAATTTCTTTCTTTCTTTTGTGAGCTTAAAAAGATTCAACTTTTTAGGTGAATTTTGATGTTTCGATTGTTTCTATGATTCTTTCAAGTGAATTTGGAGATGGGTTTTTAATTTTAAGCATGGCTATTTCGTATATTTTGCCCCTGAGATTTTTTTTTTTTTTTTTTTGCTTTTAAATTTTAGTGTTTTTAGTTTGTGATGTTAAAAAAGTTATGACATTTAGATCTGGTGTTGATAGATTATGTTTGGGGTTGCTAAGGTTGAGGATGATATGTTGGTTTGTTTTGAAAATTAGGGTATTGAAGAATGGATCTAATTCAATAACCATTGTTGAGCGTTGAGTGCATGTCAAGGTCTTTATAATGGTATAAAGATGGTGCCTTTGTTTTTTTGAATTTTGTTTTGGGTTGTTGAATTTGACCTGGAGTGGACTACGCATGTATTAGAATTGAAAATTTTCTTTGCCAGTGTGGATCAGACATTAGTTAGTGAATAAAATGATGGGTCAAAGTGATAATTTCCACTTTAAAAGAAGCATACAAGACACTGAAAGTTGTAAGCAATGCATGAGAAAATTTATTAATGAATTTGGAATAAGCTCATCAAGGATTAATGTCAAGATAAGAGTTAAATCATTAAAATTGTCTTAACCGTTGGTGTATACGAGCACTTAAAAGTCACCATTGCCACATTTTTATCATGAAGTTTGATGCCACAAACAAATGGGAAAATTTCACCGTGCTGTTTATATAGAATCCTGTCCCCCCCTCCATTTTTTTTTTTTTTGATGTGATTTTAGTTCTGGATTTTATGCATGAGCAGGTATCCTTGCGTAGCAGCTGGTAACGAAACACTAATACAAGTTTATATTCACACTGATCAGATTGACATTCCCGAGCTGTGCCATCTTCCGTGCTTCTTTTATGGGGATTTTTGCAGACAAAGCCATTGTGTTAAGTATATTTGTTGCATTCATGGCAACTAAGTTGGTGTAAATGTGAGAGTTTGTTGCTGACCAAGGGGTAGATCTTTAGTTAGAATTTGCTGTCATTTTCGTTAAAACAAATATGCGCTCGTGGTGGGGGAAGTCTTCATCCAAAGAGGACAAGAAGAGAGGAAACAAGGAAAGTTTCATTGATACAATAAATAGGAGATTGAAGATTACATCAGAAGAAAAGGGCAACAGTAGATCAGGAGGATCTCGGAGACATTGCAAAGATACTCTTTCAGAAAGGGGCTGTTTATCCCGCGTTCCATCAAGATCACCATCGCCCTCCACACATGTATCACGTTGTCAAAGTTTTGCTGAAAGGCCTCAGGCTCAGCCACTTCCACTCCCTGGGGGTCACCATACTAGAATTGGGCGTATTGATTCTGGAAGTGGTGCTTCAAGGAAACCGGGATTGGATGGAGGTGACAAGCCATTGCATTTGCCTCTTCCACCACCAGGACATGTCCCTAATAGGCTGGACCAAGCAGATACATTGGGGAATATAGCCACTGCTTCTGTGTCCAGTGATAGCTCCATCGATAGTGATGACTTGTCTGACTCACGTGTCCTTAGCCCTCTCACATCTGACCATGAAAATGGGAACAGAACAGCTGTGAACAGCCCTCCAAGGTGAGCTATATGTGCCGTTGAAAGTTTTGATTTCCAGGATTTGTTTTATCTCTGACGAAATTTGTCTTATTGTCTGCTGAAGCATGATGCAACAGGATCAATCCCCTATTGTAAATAAAAAGATCTCGAGAGAAATTTTGAAACCTGCTAATTTACCTGTAAATAATCAGATTTTGTCTACCCCACCAAAACGAGCAATTTTTAGCTCTCAAGTGCAGAATTTGCAGATTCCTCATCGAGGAGCATTCTTCAGTGCTCCAGACAGCTCAATGTCGAGTCCTTCTAGAAGCCCAATGAGAGCATTTGGCGCTGAGCAACTTATCAACAATGGTTTGTGGGCAGGAAAGACTTACTCAGATATTGGCTTACTAGGATCTGGACAGTGCTCAAGTCCAGGTTCAGGTTATAATTCTGGGCAGAACTCGATAGGCGGAGATATATCAGGACAGCTTCTTTGGCCAAACAGTAGATGCAGTCCTGAGTGTTCTCCATTACCTAGCCCCAGAATGACCAGCCCAGGTCCCAGCTCCAGAATACACAGTGGTGCTGTCACTCCTCTTCACCCACGAGCTGTAGGAGTTACCACAGAGTCGCCTACAAGCCGGCCTAATGATGGAAAGCAACAAAGCCACCGCTTGCCCCTTCCCCCGATAACAATCTCTAACACCTGTCCTCTTTCTCCTACCTATTCAACTGCAACATCTCCTTCAGTGCCTCGAAGTCCTAATAGGATGGAGAATCCAACGAGTCCTGGTTCACGCTGGAAGAAGGGTCGTTTGCTCGGGAGAGGCAGTTTTGGAGATGTATATCTTGGGTTTAACAGGTCTGTGCAAAGGTTATATGCTATATGTTTTATTGCACAGACGTGAGTGATTCGGCATCATAAAAACTTCACGAAAGTCTAGTACACAAACACCTGGGTGTAGGAAGCAGGTCCATTTAGCCTCACAGCTTATTTGAGATTGAGACTAAATTGACTTGAGTTGACATTATGTCAGATTGGTTATGACCTATGCCATCATAAAATTTTGCTCTACTCTGCTATGACATTTCACCTCTGTAAAGCAACACTTGAACTGTCATGGTTTTTTCATCATCTCCATCATAGTGCTGCGTCAAGCAATATTTCAATCCTTCTTTTACTTCACAATTGAACTAAAGATTTGTCTCCTCCTCCTCTCACATCTTACCCCGTCTTTTAACTCATTCTGCATTCTCCTTGGGTGATTTCTTTGCAACGGTACCTCGTACATACCGTAAGAGTTCCCATCTGCAATCGTAATCATTATTGCCATCCTTGCTATTGTTGTCATGCATTCAAGTCTTAGTTAATATCATTTCACTTCATAATTAAACAGGAGATTCAATGATATTCTTGAACGCATATATGTCACCATACTGAACTGAGTTATCGACCAATTGTTAAACACATTATTTTATACATTTTGCATGTCTTATTTGTTATTGTTGTTTGGGCCTTAGTGAAAGCGGTGAGATGTGTGCAATGAAGGAGGTAACTCTATTTTCAGATGATGCAAAATCAAAGGAAAGCGCACAGCAGCTGGGACAGGTAAATTTTTTTTTTTTTCATCATATGCAGTTCATAGGTTGAAGAATATAAGCTATGTATTGATATACATAGTTATTAGATTTAGAGCTATTTCTTTGTTCTTGTTATTTGTCTTCTTCTCTGAGAACTTTCGATGAAGATTTTATAGTTGTTGATAATACGTGCAGGAAATTGTGCTTCTGAGTCGCTTACGACATCCTAATATAGTGCAGTATTATGGATCTGAAACGGTAGCGTTGTTTTTATCAGCTTTATGTTATCTCCTTTAAGATTTACATTCTGAAATAATTTCATTTTACATGTTAGTCATAAAATATTGCTTTCTTATATTCCTCATTCCAAACTACTAAGACTCCTAATATGTTGTGGACTTGCAGTACTTTTAAGTAGACCCCTTTGTGATATTTTGTGGGATTTATATTATTGTATTGTATCAGTAGTTGGTTTCTGGTACTGTGTTGTCATTAGATACTTTATCAGCATAAAGTTCCACCAGATTTATGAATAAGAATCAGTGGCTAAGATTTTGTTAATTGAATTGGTTTATTTTTTTGTAACAGGTGGATGACAAATTATATATATACTTGGAGTTTGTGTCTGGTGGCTCCATCTATAAACTTCTTCAAGAATATGGCCAATTTGGCGAAATAGCTATTCGTAGTTACACACAACAAATCTTGTGTGGGCTTGCTTATTTGCATGCTAAAAACACTGTCCATAGGTGAGCCTTATTATTGCTATCTCATGATTTTAATATGGAACCATAATTTACTCCAATCACTTATAAACACGATCATGCTTATGCCATAAGTTTTAATCATGTTCAGAGACATCAAAGGAGCTAATATTCTGGTCGATCCCACAGGCCGTGTGAAACTGGCAGATTTTGGGATGGCAAAGCATGTAAGGATATTCATCTGGAATTTTCTTTTCTCTAGTTATGTAGATTGGGAAAAATATGTTGACTGCTATTGCCATTGGTTTACAAATGTTAGTGTCAGTTGGTTATGCAACCAAAGGAAATTAGTTCTCTATAACTGCTATCTGTTTGGTTTAGTTAGAAAGTAAGTGTGAAAATTTACTTTTACACATGTTAATCGATAGGCAATGTGTTGTAACCCATTTTAACTCAATTAATCTCCAGATATCTGGGCAGTCTTGTCCATTATCATTCAGAGGAAGCCCATACTGGATGGCACCTGAGGTCAGCCTTGATATATTGTCACATTCTGATTTGACATTTCTTTGTGATGCTTTGAAGTAATACATTTCTTAAATACAATAATTGTTTCCAGGTGATAAAGAATTCAAATGGTTGTAATCTTGCTGTGGATATATGGAGCCTTGGGTGCACTGTTTTGGAGATGGCAACAACAAAACCACCTTGGAGCCAGTATGAAGGGGTTAGTAAAATTGAAGAACAAGAGCTTGAATTTTTCATTTTTGTAACTTGTTTTGCAATTTGGATAGGACTGGTTGCACATCTAAATATGTTTCTCGGTGAGATTGCTGTTGTGCTAGAAGTATGATTTGTTGACCTTATTTCTTACCCCCATTGTGCTTTATTTGCTTCTTGAAAGGTTCCTGCTATGTTTAAGATTGGAAATAGCAAGGAACTTCCAGAAATTCCTGATCATCTGTCAGATGATGGAAAGCACTTTGTGAGGCAGTGTTTGCAACGGAACCCATCACATCGCCCTACAGCTGCTCAACTTTTGGAGCACCCTTTTGTGAAAAATGTTGCTCCAATGGAGAGGCCATTTTTTTCCACTGAGCCTTTAGAAGATCTACCTCCAATTATGAATTCAGGAAGATCAACGGTATTTGGATATTTTCTAAGTCTGTTATTTTTTTCTCTTGCAGATTATATAAGTTAAGAAGTTCTACTGCTACTGTTATGAAACTTTAATATTTTTTTTAGAAAACAAAAGATATCTGATGAAACGAAGAAAATATACAAAGGAAGTTAGGAGAATAAGCCATCTTCTGAACTAAGAAACAGAGCAGACAAAACTATGATAATAACCATCCCTAACTCATGTTACTTCAATATTGGTTGGCAGTTAAGTAAGTGACTGGATAAATGTGTTAATTGGGAGTTACTTGCTATATATTTAGTTTTATGCACACAAACTTACATGGCTAGTATATGTGATCTTGTCTTATTTTGTTTATGCATTGCTTAGCTAACGGTGATGTATTTTGTTTTCTTCGTGATGCACTACATGGAATGATACCTTTCACTTTTCCTGACTTATATGCTGTGCCCTTGATGATGTTTCTTGAATTGACTGATGGGTTGAAATCTTTTAACTTCCAATAGGCAATTGGACCTGCAAGACATGTTTCAGGCTTTGACTCAGAAGGGATTGCTCTCCATCAATCTAGAGGGTCCAAATTTGGTTCAGGGTTCAGGTCCTTCTTCCTTCCCTCTCTTTCCCACCCTTCCACCCACACTCAATCACACTGGAGTGCAGTTGCACTTGTTCTTTATATATATATATATATATATATATATATATATATATATATATATTTCGCATCATTGCACATTCAGGAATGTGTTTGGTGAAGATTGTCGCTAGAATTATTGGTATGTGTAGTTCTATCTTATCTGAAGATTGACCAATACTCGATGATGCATTTCAGCCAAAGACACCTAGGTTTTCAATAAGGCACGGGAAAATATTTTTGTCAGTTATCATGTTTCAAATTCAGTCTCTTGCTATGAGAGCAGTATGGAAGTAAATCCACTACAAAAACTTCTATTTGTAGTCATCTTTACCCACAACTTGCATGAAATGAGTTTGATGGTATTATTGCTTTTTTTTAGGTGGGTTGGATGTTATTATTACTTTGTTCAACCGCCAGCAATAAATCATCCTGCATTCTTTGTTCCTTCAATAACTTTTTATGTGAAGACTTCTTTTATTGGTTTTGCTCTGTACCTGTAACATTTTGTCCCCATTGCCTGAAGTTGCAATTCAAATTTGAAGCTGCATTTTAGCATTTGCTGTATTGAGGGGAGATTGTTATGCTTAAGCTAGTTGTTTTATTTTGTGTTCAAAATACATGTAGTTTGCTGTATTGAGGGGAGATTTTTATGCTTAAGATAGTTCTTTTATTTTGTGTTCAAAATACATGTAAAAATTGCTGGCATAGTATCTGTTCTAAAAATAAGTTAGTCTTCTTCTCTTTAATATATATATTTTTTCCTATTCCAGCGATGTCCATACAATGAAGAACTCTTCATGCCCAGTGTCTCCTATTGGGAGCCCTCTTCTCCATTCAAGGTCCCCACAGAATTTGAGCGGAAGGATGTCTCCATCTCCTATATCTAGCCCTCATACTGCATCTGGTTCATCCACACCTCTCACTGGTGGTTGTGGTTCCATCCCATTTCATCATGCAAAGCAGCCTATTACTTACTTGCAAGAAAGCATAGGAATGATCCCTAGGTCCCAAAGTAGTTTCTATCCCAATAGCAGTAGCCCTTATCAGGAGCCAAAGCCTGGCCTATTTCGAGGTGTGTCGCAAGCCTCTTGTGTTTTCAGGGAAATAATTTCATCAGAAAACAGTGTTCTTGGAAATCAGTTGGGACGACCTGAACTCTATGATGGGCACCCTGTTTTATTTGATCGTGTGTCCCAGCAGCTCCTAAGGGATCATATGACATTGAAGCCATCCCTGGACCTGAATCCTAACTCATCAATTCTTGGCCGCTCCAACGGAATCTAAAGTCTAAACTAGGCATGAATATCATCAGAAAAAGCTTTCTTGGCACTATGGCACTATACCTCCTGATACTTTATTCATTTTTTCGAGGGGAGATAAATCAGATATGTGTGCTAAATATGAAAACCGGACTAGATATTCCAGTTGTTCAGATCTTTTGGAATCTTGAAGGGCAGGAGAGATCTCTTGGAAATTGCCTTAGAACTTGGTTTAGTTCTTATGGCAAGCAAGCAGTTTGCTTAGATATGGGAGGAGAGTATGGAAATTTGGCACCCCTTTCAAATAATTCCACTTGTGTTGATGATTGAAGCTCTTTACCTGGTAGCTATGTATTGTACTGAAGCCACTAACTTCGTTTGTTTTCCTGCCAACTTTGTGGACTCAAATTCGTGTGCAAACCCTTTTCTGGATGAAGATTTTGAATATGCCAAGAAGATTGCCTTCTGAGATCACATATTCATCAGCTCCTCACAATCAAGTATGTAATTGCTAGTATATAGAAATGTAGATTTATTATACTTGGAAAGCAAAGGTAGAAGAGCTACTACCATCTGTGGATTTCATACCTTTTATGTTCCTTCTACAACTTTTTGGGTGGAAGGATGTGGTGGGAATCGAAAACAAATATTGTACAGAAAGACGGAACCAAGTTGGAAGTCCAGATTTTGCCAAGATAACAGTTGAGAATTTGCCAGGCTTTGCCTGGTCTATTTTTTATCAGTTTAGGGCAGCTCAGTGCAGAACTTATTGTGGGCTGCCCTGCTGACATCCTTGTATCTAATGTATACTGTTGTACCGTGCGTCGAATTGAAGAAATCTAATTCAATTTGTGTACTAGTGCAGAACAACCTGCATTTGTAAATTTTGGGAACGGTAATGAGCCGGGTTTATTCTTAAGTAGTATGTTTCAGTAACATCGTGGCATAATTAAATGGGGTTGTGGTTTAGAGCCAGTTTCATTTTCCTTTGATTGCATCAGTCTGTTCGAGTTCATTCCAGCCTATAGGGATGGAAAAAATACCCGTCTCGATGAAATTTTAGCCTGAATGGTTGGGGTCAGGTTTTGGTATTTTTACTGTAGGGACAATCTGGCATCATTAGCATATACAAAATAATACAGGATAATTCCCATATATTTCTATGTTACGTTTTTTACCTCCTAAAGCTGGGATTTTTATCATCATTTTTATTTTTTCGTTTTTCTCTCTCTTTCTTAACCTAAGAATCAGGGTTCATGGAAGTTTTGATTTGAAAGTCTTGGTTTGCTTCTAGGTCGGCCAAGAAGCCTTGTTTTGTCACTGGCAACAATGATCATAGAAAATCTTCAAACCAATCGAATACGTTCAACTTCATAAAAAAAAAAAAAAAAAAAAAAAGCCTTTTTTAAATGGACATTGAACTAGTTTGACCCAAGTATGTTAACAAGAGTACATATTTATTTACTCCCAGAAACCTCGAAAGATGCTGACTACTTTTTTTCGGTGATGCTCAAGCTGAAATCCCATAGCTTTTTGGCCAATTCTGCGTCTTTAGCCTGAGAGCTTGGTTCTGCTATGTTGCTGTCCATAAAATATTTTCCGCTTATCCCCTTAACTTGTGGATGTAATGCAACGTAGCATGTTGTTGCTGCTCCCTGTTAACCAGAGCCAAATGAAATGAATAAGCAACCATGGCACATGGCGTCAATAATGACTTGGTGTTAAACAGATTGATTATTCAGACAAAACAATGTCATCATTTTTTGCCAATTTTGCACACATAGGGTACCCTATTCAGATAAAATCTTGCAATGCGTTTCTCAGAATTATGAAAGATATACCTGCTGAACATTTTTTGTCATGTATTTACCAAACAAGCTGAAAAGAGCTGCATCGAGACCAAATAATAGAACAAATATTAATAAAAGTAGTCAAGTTTAGGTACTGTGAACGAAGAAGAAATATATTAAGCTGATTATAGTCAATGCTCCATGGCATAAGCAACAGATACAAATTACGAAAGATTTTTCAAATGTCCTGATGAAATATGCAAGAAGACCCCAACTGTTCAATAATCCAACGTCAGATTAATTTAATGCTACGAAGCACAGAATAACAAATGATTATCTGAAAAGGCCTAAAAAACAATTACCATTAACAAAACCTTGGTGACGCAGAAGATTGGTATGGATTGCTCCGGGATGTAGTGAATTAGCAGTTATCTCTTCTCCTCCTTCCTGTACGTAAATTCAGGCAATAATGGACCAAGGTTTTTGGTATTAGATTCTGCCTATCAGAATAGTGTGATTACCCTTCACATTTCAACCGAAGGAACTTAATGTGTTCATATTTGTGGTGGTAATCTTCAATACCAAACTGCGTAAATTTGTGGCTCATGGTGTGTGATGAAGAAAGTAAGTTAAGTACAGCAAACTGCCAAGTTCAGCCCAAAAAAACTTTATTCTACACTAGGACATATTATGCTTTAAATACCTTCAGGCGCCTTGCAAGCTCATTGGCGTGCAATATGTTAGCAAGCTTCGATTGTCCATATGAAAACCAACTGATAGAATTGGAAATTATCAGCTATCAGAAAGCTCAGGGAAGATAGAAACTGCTGATGCTTGATGATGACATTGAACACTACATGTAGAAATTTAAAACCATAGGCATAAATATTTCTGCCATCAAAATTGTTACCTACCTTGCCTCGTCATAGATTTTATCAAAACAAACTCCTTCACGACTCACAATACGGTGACCTACTGATGATACATTGATGATCCTTCCTTCTTGCTTGCTGTTTTGCACTGTTTTTTTCATGATTTCCAGTAACATGTTTGTCAATAGAAAATGACCTGCAAATTGTAGTATTTCAACCCCAAGTTGTAATATCAACACAGAAAATACTGTGACGGAATGTTTCAATATTTAAAAGTCATATATAACATACCTATATGGTTGGTTGCAAATAGCGGTTCAATGTTATCTTGAGAAAGCTTGGACGGCGATGACAGAGCCCCAGCATTATTACTACAAACAGAAAGGAAAGTATCACTCTTTGCAAGAAAGCTAGAATCTGCCCATGAATATAATTTCTTTTGAGAGAATGACAGGAGCATTCAACTGACTGGCGACAATTGGATAGGATAAAAACTGCAAATTTAATTGCTGCAATAGAGTTTCCTTACATGAGGATGTTCAAAGGAAGACCCGAGGAAGTATATTCGGATGCAAACTTCCTCACCGATTCCATTGAGCTTAGGTCTAACTCCATAACATCAATCTGAGCACTGGGAATTTCCTTTAGTATTGCTTCTTTGACATTCCTGCCAGCATCCAGGTTCCTCACTGCCATAACTACATGGACACCACGCAGTGCAAGGACACGCGTTGTCTCCGCACCAATACCACTCGATGCTCCTGGAAATTAATTTGCATTCAAAACCACAGATTATTATTTTATTTTTTTTCATTCTTGCCGACTCTAACGTTCGCATAAAATTTCTCTACTTGCATCCTTAGGCTAAAACAAAGCTTTAGCAAGCAAACAAAGGCAGGGGATTTGGCTTAACAAGGAAAAAAAGGAAAAAAAAAGTAAAACCTGTAACAATGGCAGTGAGACCAATTCCATCAATTCCCTGTGTAACTTCCTCTGCTGTAGAAGAAGCTGAGAACCCAGATGGCCCTTTCCGTCCAAAAAACCACATTCTGCTGATTCTAATAATGAACTCATACTACAAATTTGCCTCACCGAACTGTTATATTGAGAACTGCTTTACAAAACTACATTTTTTAGCATAAAATGGTCCTCGGATTTATGTAACTAGTTTGGCTTCTGACGAGAGATCCAACTACAAGCATCTTTAGGGTACTATGCTTAATTTAACTCATTTAATTGGTCATCAGTTGTTGGGCATTGATGAACAAAACTATTAGTCATCGAGCGTAAGCAAATTCATAACTGCCCAAAATAAGGTTCCAGATTATTATAGATATGAGGGACAAAAAAATCGATATTGTCTAGGACAAAAATTGCCAACTTTTCCAATAAATTTTGTGCTACCAAATAAGACAGAAAAGAAAATCTTCTGATTATTTTCTCCTTGACAAAAAAAGTTTTGTTTAGCAGTACCAACATTTTCCTTCAACCTTTTTATGGTAAAGTCCAATTCATCGAAAGATACATACTTAATTTGCGTGACATTGAACAACCTAATAGAGCTTAATAGCTTCAAGTGATGCGAAATCAATCTGCAATCCAACTTAGCAAAGCCTTTAAATTTCAATCACTTAGATCCCACAATTTAATTTTGTGCCGGTCAGTCTACATCTTTAGCCCGAGAGCCAGGTTTGGCTTCGTTAGACAGTTCACAAGATATTCACCGGTAATCCCCTTGACTTGTGGAATATGAATGCAAAGCTGCTCCCTGCAAGAATTGAAGAGATTAGCAGACAGCTGAACTAAACCAAACGCCGGCTGTAATAGTGATATTGTGCCCTAACCACATAAGGGTTACCTGTTGTTTGTACGTTTTGCAGCACATGACCTGTTCTATGCTTAATTACCTTGACACACTTCATAGATCATCCGTGGTTGGCTTTTATGAGCAAATAATTATTCTACATATATAATTCATTGGGTACTCCCAAATTTACCATAAAATTTGTTATTTCCATCAATTATTTTCTTTTAAGTTACCAATACACTCTTGTGATCATCAATTTTTGTTATATTATATTTTTAATATATTCCAATAAAGTCAGCCTCTTCTCTCTAGCTTCAGTGGCAACCACAACAACAACCAAAAACGGTAGTCCTCGCCAGCAGATGACAGCAGCAACTTGGACAACTGCAGTTTTCTATCAAAACTAGCTTCGAACAATAGCAGCTCAGTTTTCTTTGGTATTTTGATTCCATCGGTTATAAAAACAGCACAGCAGTACCGTCCTCACTGGATGCTGTAGCACCTCTTTTGACCTTTGAAATAGCACCCAAAACGCCTAAACACTAAAAAAAAATATATAGCTTCAGAACAGAATGGTAGTAAGAACTTTTGTATTGAGAAACTGAAAGCATCATCAAATATTTTTGAAATTAGATCATAAACGAAAATTGCAGCTGCAAACACAACGATATATTGCTAATTTAACTTTAATATTGAAGCATGTTAAAATATAATATATAATATTATGAAATGATGAAGATAATATCTTGGTAATTTCAAAAACCATTGATTGAAATAACAAATTTATGATGAATTTTTCAGCACCTTAGTGATTTTATCAAAAAGTTTGAGAAATTATGGGAGTCGTAGGAGTCCAATATGCTAGAAGTCCAAAACCCCAGACAGCTACCATGCAATGCAAACCAATCTACTTTATAACTGTTGGATTTTTGGCATACATCATGATCAGTTAAATGAATAAATTACTAGCAGTTAATGCAAAGCATTAAAGAAGCTATCAATCATGGGTTAAACTCATTTTATTCCTTGGATTTAGAGGTCTTCATTTGGTGTTTTTTTTTTTTTTTTTTTTTTTTTTTTTTTTTTTTCGATTAATCAAATTAGCTAAAACAAAAACCCAAACTGAACCGAATTATTGTTCGGTTTTTCTGTTAAAAACCAAAATTTTTTCGGTTCAGTTTTTCGGTTAAAAACCAAATTATTATTATTATTTTTTTTTGCATTTTTCTTCTAAAAATCGAATTATTTTGCTTTTAAAAAATATCAAACTTGCATAATCAAAGATTGCATATTTCATATTTGATTTTATAAGAAAATTATGTATGATTATTATTATTTTTCTATAATAAATATGTTTCTATTTATATTGTAAACCAAATTAGTTGGGCTTCTCATTATTTTTTCAATCACTCTATAATTAGTTTTTTTTTAATTAATTTTTCATATTCTTTTTTTTAATCTATTTATTTTGTGCATATTTTATTGTTGAATATATAATATGGAAAATTCAATTTTTAATTTATGTTTGTGCCAATTTTAATACAAGGAGATAATTTTTTTTTCATAAGGTTTTAGGATTCACCTATAAATTTGTGTTTTCATAAAGAATTTCTTCATCATAGTCTTTTTATTTTTATTTTTTTGTGATTCAATATAATATAATCAATTCTTTTTTATTTCAATAAATAATTAATGAAAAATATTTCTATTTTAAGTAGAAAAAAATCATTAAAGCTATTGTTCTTTTAGTTAAACCCATAGGTGCCTCTTTGATTTTTTTTTTTTTAAAAAAGAGTTTGAGTATGTGTTTAAAAAAAAAAAAAACTAATTCGGTTTTCGGTGGAAACCGAATTTGAAAAAAAAAAAAAACCAAACCAAACGAAATAATTTTGGTTTTCGGTTTCGGTTTTTTTTAAAAAAACCGAATCGAAATTGTTAATTCGGTTCGGTATTTTAATTTTAACCGAACAGTGAAAACCTTTATTTGGATTGGAGGGGTATAGCCAGACCCACTACTATTTGATTCGAGAGTTCATGGATTTTGTAATTAACTTCTTATAATTTCAACAAATTAACAAGCCTTAAGCTTCACAGTCCTCATTGGGCTTTGTTAAACTTCTACGTACTATCAATACCTTGTCTAGCAAGAAATTGTGAAATGAGCGCCGAAAAACTAATATTACGTGGAAACAGATTTTGTATATAATAATTGAGAAATTGTATAATAATCAAAGAGTAATTAGTGATATGAATAATAGTTATTCCATGGACTTACATTCGAAGAGAGAGAGTTATACATATAAAAAAGAGAGAGAAAATTAAAAAAAAAAATTGAACAAACGTGAAAAATCTTCTTATCACTTTTGATGGATCCGAATGTAATTTTTTTTTATTTTTATGTGTCTATCTCTCTTCTCAAAGTGGGTCAATTAAATAACTACTTTTTGAGTATTAATATAAAATTTCCATACATTCATCAATGCAAACAAAGCATAACATCAATACAACATAAGACATGACATATACATACTTCAACAAAATGAATACACACGCGCATAAGAATATGGACACATACTTAACAAAATACACATACACATAAATGCACACGAATGTTCGAAATCTCGGGTGTTATACATTACCTATATGGTTAGTTGCAAAATGAAGTTCTATGTTGTCTTTGGAAAGAATGGTTCGCTTTTGACAGGAAAATGGAAATTTTAAAAATTGATGATGTAGCTATTTTATTGCTATCATTCAAATTTAGTAACTTTCTTACATGAAGATGTTCAAGGGAAGATTTTAGGAAGTATATTCTGATGCAAATTTCCTGACAGATGCCATTGAGCTGAGGTCTAGTTCCATGACATCAATCTTGGCGTTGGGGCTTTCCTTCGGTATTGCCTCTTTCACATTCCTCCCAGCATCCATATTCCTCACAGCAAGAACGCGCGCCGGCTCTACTCCAGCGCTCCTTTGACGCTCCTGAGTCCTGATGTCATTTAGATTGTGCATTCTCATGAGCAGTTGTAAGCAACACACAATGAAATGAATCAAGGGAACTACAAAACCTGTAACAATGTCAGTGAGACCAGTTAAATTCCTCTTGTAAGTTGTAACTTCTTCTGCAGTTGAATAAGCTGAGAATCCAGATGTTGATCCCTTCCACCCCAAGTTCTTCATTGCCATGCAAAATACTTACCTCACTGTTAGCAATGGGCAGAACAGTAACTCTGGAGCTAGCTCGATACACATTATTGAATTTGATAATTGCTTGGTGGAGGGTTAAGCTCTAGTTTTCTTGCCACCTTGAAGCTATGGTGACAGCAATCTCCGCTCAAAGGTGAAGCTTGGACAGTAAGGGAGAAACGAAGAAAAGGAAGTAAAAGAGGTTCAGTTTTTTTTTTTTAAACTCACAGCTCTCAGCAGAACTAGACTATTGGGATTTAATCCCGTGAACTCTTATAAGAGACCAATACCACCGGACTACAAACGTTTTGATAAATGAGGTTCAGATCATGCCCCCATTATTTAATTATTACTCTGGATGTCTTCTCCAAATGCAAGGTAATAACCATCACATATGCTAATTGAAGCAGTAACTGCTTGTCCTCTGACAGAAAACTCTACAAGACATGGGAGTTATAAACGTGGACGGACGCGCAAGCCGGGAACTTGCAAGGTGATAAGAAAAATGTGTAGAAGTCAATGTTGTCTGTGAGTGATGGGGTGTCAGAATGAAATTAAATTAAGACTATGGCCCTGAATTAAAAAAGTTGTCTGTGATATAATGATATAATTATGAAGATAAATAGAAACCATAATCTTACCTAACTATTAAATTATTAAGAGATGTTGAAGGGTGTTCTTCTGTCTTTATCAAGCCTAGCAGATGCATATTAGAGAAGCACAAAAAAAATTTGTAACAAAGAAAAGCACCTAAACAAGGTCGAATTGATGATTCTCTAAAACATCAGCAAGGTTCTTTTGCAGCCAAAAGTAACCCACAAGAGCCTTTTTTTTTTTTTTTTTTAATTATTATTCCTTTTTGGTACAAACAACACCCTTATTATTACAAACACTATTCATTTCCATAGAGAGAGAGAGAGAGAGAGAGAGAGAGAGCACCACACCAGAATGCCAGAGGGTGAGACAGGCACTAAACTGATCAAAATTTAGGCCCACTTCAACAAAGACATGACCTCCTACGGAAAATTTAGGCAACAAATCTGTTTTATGTGTACATTACAAATGATATGATCCTTCCTACAGAACAAGATACAGCTTCATTTAATCATGTAGTTTGAACTTTGAATGCAGTAGGCAATCCCCAACTGGACTAGGGATTGGTCAAGGGCAAGCTGAATTCCCATAGTTTTTTGGCCAATTCTGCATCTTCACCATATGCACTTGGTTTCGATATGTTACAGTCCTCAAAATACTTGCCGCTTACCCCATTAACTTGCGGATGCAATGCCACATAGCATGTAGTTGCAGCTCCCTACAACCATGTAGAAGAAATTAATAAATTAACTGTGGCATGGTAACAAACAGAATTGGAGCATGTGGATTTTATGATTTGAATTCGCACAAATCACACAGTCTGTCACATTCATATTAATCCTGCAGTACACGCACATTCCATCAAAAATGAAGAATGTACCTGGGGAACAGATTTGAACTTGAATCTGCCGATTGTATTCGCAAAGCCTGCCGAGAAATGAATCCAGAACCAGAAAATTTAAAACTTAGTGAATGAATGAAGAAATTTATTATGCATGGCAAGATTAAAATAGGCCAGGAATTACCACTAAGAACAGTATGATAGCGGAAAAGATTGGTGTGAATGCCTCCAGGATGAAGTGAATTAGCAGTTATGTTTACTCCTTCTTCCTGTATGAATCAAGAAAAGGGAAAAAAAAAAAGATATAACATTCCAGTATTTAACATATCAAATCCTTGTCTCATAACCTTGCAAATGCTGAGTACCTTGAAACGTCTTGCAAGCTCATTAGCATGCAATAGAGTAGCAAGCTTTGATTGTCCATAAGCTTTTATACTGCCATATCTGTAATTAGCATGAACAAGGGGTTAAACTGAGAAGAAACGCCTTACCCTTAGGCTACATAATACAAGCATACATATGTGGGTGTTACAGCATTACTTAGCAGCAGGAAAATTGAAGATTGAGAGAATGGTACTGCCAAATTGTTACCCTGCTTCATCATTGATTTTATCAAAACGAATTCCTCCAGGGAATGGATGACGATGAGCTGATGAAGATAGATTAACAATTCTTCCTTCTCGACTACTTTCACGTGCTGTGTTTTTCATGTTGTCCAACAAAAGATTTGTAAGAAGAAAAGGGCCTGCAAAATTATAAGAAACACTGTTACAAAAGAAAAAAACACTGATATTTACAACTATCATTCCTTCAATGCAGAATATAAAACAATTTACATAATTATGTGTAACATACTTAGATAGTTGGTTGCAAACTGCAGTTCTATGTTGTCTTTGGAGAGCATGTAAGGAGATGCCATAATCCCTGCATTGTTACTTCCCAAAAAAAAAAAAAAAAAAAAAAGAACATTAATTCCCGCTGTTAAATTTTGAAAGAAATCTTACATGGGGAGAGAATGTAATCAGTTGGCAGGCATAGCTAGAGAGAATTGCCTTCCTAACAAGTTCGATATAACAGCAAAACAAATCAACCACAGAAAATACATGTAAAGAGAATTGCTCTAAGTTAGTTGTCTTACATAAGGATATTCAGCGGAAGACCCAAGGAATTATATTTGGATGCGAATTCCCGAACCGAGGCCATTGAGCTGAGATCCAACTCCATCACATCAACCTTAGCATTGGGGATTTCCTTTAGTATTTCTTCTTTGACATTCTTACCAGAATCCACGTTCCTTACTGCCATAACTACATGGACACCGCGCAAAGCAAGAACACGCGCTGTCTCTGCGCCAATACCACTTGATGCTCCTGAAATTAGCAAAGAAGCAAAGTTACAGGCTAACCTATCCAAAGCACCAACTGAGAAATTATACAGTCTAAAGCACAGTTAGGTTTTTAGAAGTCTCAGCAATATTTCAGAACATAAAATTGATAAATCACAGACGAGACAAATTTGAAACTGGTTAAATTAACTTGGCTAAAAATCAACAAGTTGTTGGCGTTCTGGCAGGATATTCTGGAACCACCAGTAATGAAACCCTAACCAAGAATCCTCTCTACAAATAACCAGACTACATAAAATTCCACTCATCTCATGCTATTCATTTCTGTGACTTGGACACAATTGTGTTATTTCTAATGTCATACCTCGAGATCAACCTATGTGAAACAGAAACTAAAGAAGTTTAGAGTGGATCAGAATTGCGAGCAATGAAAAATTAACTTAAATATCATCCACATGCATGGAACAAATTAACAACTACTTGCCACTAACTGCGTCACTTACATCGACCAAAAAAATCACAGCATAAAACAGAAACCAAGCAGTTGAAATTGAAAAAGAACACGACAGATGCACGTAGACGATGCAGATCATAACAGACCTGTAACAATAGCAGTGAGGCCACTTCCATCAATGCCTTCTGTGACTTCCTCCGCTGTGGAACTGGAAGAAAACCCAGATGGCCATTTCCTTCCGAAAAACCACATGTTGACAGGTTCTGAATCACAACAAAAGTTGCAGACTCTATGTATATAATTCTGACAAGTAGCAGCAGATATGGACCGGCATCATGTATTAATTATTAGTATTGTCTTGTTTTGGAGAATTCTTCAAACACGAAGCCGCCAGGAATTGGTAAATGCTACCTGCACTCCCTTAATATATATTAATTACATATCATGATGCTATCCTTCGGTTTTGTTTGTATTTTCCTACATTCTGGTCAAATTCCACGATGCTATTTCTTTACTTTATTTCATGATTCTAGATAGAAAGGCTCTGGTGCTTGACTTTCAAAAAAGGCAGCTTAGAATAATGAGTAATAACTTAATCCCCGTTTTGTTCTTGTATAAAACTTAATCCCTATTTTTAAGAATTAATTAATATAGTCCTTCTAGTTTAAAAACATATAATTAATCCCTATTTTGTTCATATTTGTTTATAACTTATTTCTTCTGTTAATTTTTTTGTTTGTGAAATGCTGAGCTGGCACCAATTTTTCTGTTCGTTTTTATTACCGACTTTACCTCAAATACGATCAAAGGATTAATTAATTATTTTTTAAACTAGAAGGATTACTTGTTATATTAATAAAAATACTTGGATTAGGTTATACTGTACTCTCAAACAACTTTTGAAGTCAAAAGTCATAAAATAACCTTATCAATAAATTATTAGGCGTAAATAAATAAAACTGTGATAGGAACATGCTGACCAGATATTCCAGGGAGCTTTCCCTATAAAATGGATTGCGAGATAGAGTGAAGAAACTGTGTTATCGGGGGGTTCGTAGAGATGATGATCAGATTGCTCAACCAGATGCATCAATATCCAGCCAGCCGGTCCAAAATGTCTAACATCTATTTTGAATTTTCATGTAGTTGTACCATTACAAAATTTATAGTACTACAAACTATTCTGGAAATTTATGCAATTCATTTCAGAAAAGGAATTTAAAGACCATGCCATTTTTTGGATTTGTCCAGAGAGAAGTGCCCCAAATAAAAGACACCACCAAATTATAGATTTCAAACAAATCCCTAATGGATTGGATCAATATACCAGAAAGTGAACAAATAACTCTCTTAACGCTCGAGTCATAAAAATGGAGAACTTAAATCTCCTTTCCATGTCAAAAATGATCGACAACGTAATTTAAATCTAACAGGGTGGAGCTAGTGGAAATGTTTACACATTATTGTCTATGCATACATGTATATAGACTCCAAGGGAAATGTTTATACAATTATTTTCTATGTATATAAATTCCAATCTCAAACCAACATGGCAAAACAACAACAACAACGGAGAAATAGTTGCAATGTGTGATTTAATACTTGAAACAGGTTTGTATACACAAGATGACACCATGAAACAGGTTTTGCAAGGTTTCTGACTTCCACATAACAAGAAACAACTTCATCATGCAGCACGACTTAGCAAACTACTTGGGGTTGGTTAAGCTCAAGCTGAAATCCCAGAGTTTTTTAGCCAATCCTACATCTCCAGCATAAGAGCTGGCTTTGGACAGGTTACTGTCCATGAAATATTCTCCGCTTACCCCCTTAACTTGTGGATGCAAAGCCACATAGCACGTAGTTGCAGCTCCCTATAGCCATGTAAAAGAAATTAATAAGCCATATAGAGTCTTAGAGGTAGTTGAATCATAAAATATAAATTTTATAATTCGAATTCATTTTCAAAGGGCTAAATGGTCCAAACCTTCCCTGAACGTTAAGTCATTGATAAACAGTTTCTCAACTTCTAATTTTGGACCGCACCTCCAACTATTTTCCATTTGAAATTGAGTCCATTTGTTAGGTTTTCATCAATTCTAATGGTGCAAGCACATGTGGATTACACATGATTAATTTTTTAACTTCCCTATCACCTAAAAATGTGTCAAAATTTATGAATGCTTTGATTTTTCCTCCAAAACTTGTTCCTTCCATTCTAAAATGTTGTTTAATTGCTAACTTCTTAGTGTTTAGGAGAAAAAAACAAAGCATCCATTAGTTTTGACATGTTTTTAGCTATTGGAGAGCTACACTTGCACATTAGAATTGACAAAAACCTAACAAAAAGAACTAATTTCAAATGAAAAATAGTTTTGAGGGAGATCCAACCCAAAATTGGAAGTTAAGGGATTGATTCTCAAATGATTTAAAGTTCAGGAGAAGTTTGTACCATTTGGCCTTTTCAAAATACTCCTGCAGCATGCAGCCACACTTTCCATGGAAACAAACAGCATACCTGTTGAACATTTTTTAGTGCAAATCTTCCAACCATAGTTACAACACCTGCATTAAGCCCAACAAATTTAATCCAGAACAAGAAAATCCCCATAGGCCAAGCATATCAATAGGGTGAACCAAAAACAAGTCAGATACATCAGAGTATTACTATTAATAACACTGTGGAAACGCAGAAGATTGGTCATAATTGCTCCAGGATGAAGTGAATTAGCAGTTATGTTCGCCCCCTCTTCCTGCATGGACAAAAGGGATAGGGAAATAAAAAACTTGCACATAAAGACTTTATTTAGGACAAAAATGTATCAACTGTGCAAGTAACAGCCAAAAGAAATGGCCATGCACGCTGATCAACCATTATTGTCATCCATGGTTTATACTGATCTAACTGTGCAATCTTCAGCACCAAAAATCTAACAAATATTTCAACTTCATCAAGTAAGGGGGCTAACGCTGTCAAGGTGATAACTTATACTTGCCACTGGAAACTATCTTAAATCTAAGAGCCACTTGGTCTTTCAGCAAAAGCAGGTAAGACAGGATCTCTTGAAAAAAATGCCAATTTGTGGTAAGGAACATCTGTAAGGGAGCATTTTCTACATGAACCATTCAGAATTAAAGCATATAGTTACATCATTTTGACTACTGAAATACTTGGAAAACGCCCAGGAAAGAGAGCTTCTATCAAACACAATCATCTCAATAGCGGATTGGTTTTTGTTAAACTTGAGAAAATTGATTACCTTAAAATGCCTCGTGAGCTCATTTGCATGCAATACATTAGCAAGCTTTGATTGTCCATAAGCCCATATACTGTTGTATCTGAAAATTATCAGGCACAAAAGGGTAAAAATAAGAAGAAATAGATAAAGAATTGCTAATCCATATACAATATACGAACAACTTAGTGTGTGGTTTTACAGCATGGACTGAGCAGCAGTCCAAGACAAGATACACAAAACAGTACTGAGACAGTGTTACCCTGATTCATCATTGATTTTGTCAAAACGAATTCCTTCACGGTATGTAAAACGGTGAGCTTCCGATGATAAGATAACAATCCTTCCCTCTCGGTTGCTTTCACGTGCTGTCTTTTTCATGGTGTCCAATACAAGGTCTGTCAGAAGAAAATGGCCTGCAAAATTATAAAATCTCTCAGAAGCCATACTTCTGCACTTGACCATACACGGCATTACAAACAATTTCGAAACATTTGGGAAGAAAAAAAATGGTGGAAAGGGATTTTCTTTTTCTTGCTTTTCCCACAGCTATCAGACAACATATATTCATCATCTTCATTCACAATAACTGATAAGACTGAAGAAATAAATAAAAATAATTGAAAAAAAAAATTCACAAACATGGGAAAAAGAGCTCAAGTAGTTTTCTTTTTGTTGTGCAGTATTTGTGGCTCTCAAGGTATCCATGTTCAAGATTCTCATGTTTGATAACAAAAATTTAAATTGTCTATGCTGGGTCATTTTTATTGCTCATTCTCTATTTCCTTCATTTACAAATTGAAATTATATTCTCTGGCCCTTAGTTATCATAATAGACTTTGCAATCAAATTAAGGGCAGATATGCAAACAATTTATACAGTCAAGTCCAACATACCCACATGGTTGGTTGCAAATTGCATTTCTATGTTGTCTTGGGAAAGCATGAAAGGAGCTGCCATAATGCCTGCATTGTTACTTAACAAGCAAAAGGTAACGTTAATTCTCACTATTAAATTACAAAACCGTTCCTAATTGTGCATAGAATCACTTCATAGCAGTCCCATTTGAGAGTACAAACAAACTGAGTAGAGAAAAGAAGGAACAAAAATAACCAACATAACAGCACAAAAAAGTTAATTGTGCAGATTAAAACTGACAGAATAAACAACACAAGTAAGAAGCATTGCCTCAGTTTCATCTTCTTACATCAGAAGATTCAGTGGAAGACCCAAGGAAACAAATTCCGATGCAAATTTCCTAACTGATTCCATTGAGCTGAGATCTAGCTGCATAACATCAATCTTAGCAGTAGGGATTTCCTTGAGTATTTCTTCTCTGACTTTCCTACCAGAATCCATGTTCCTTACTGCCATAATTACATGGGCACCGCGCAAAGCAAGTACACGTGTGGTCTCTGTTCCAATACCACTCGAGGCTCCTGAAATGAATTAGGCAATGAATGAAATTGACTGACCAACCAACCAATAACTAAAAAATTGGTGATATGCATCAGTTGCCACCAGAAGCATAAATATAGCATGCCACTTGATATATAAAATTGATCAAGGCACCAATGGAAAATTTCTGATTTAGGAACTAAATTCCAATGTAGAAGGCCTATCGCGAAAATATAGTTAAAGTAATAGGTGCCGAAATGAATCCCAACTCAAGCGGACCACTGTCTACAAATAGCTAGATTATAGAAAACTCCACTCATATTCGCAATCCTCACTTATGAAGTATGAAAAAACTGGTACCTAGGACAAACTAAAAACAAATTTGTACCCTTATATATTCACCAGTCATTTTCAAGTCCATCTCCATAGAACTTGTACGAACAAAATAGAACATACAGAAAACACAGTGGTTAAAAGTACGAAAACCCAGAAATGATCATCAAAGAAAGAACGTTTGCATAATCCATTTGACAGATGAACATAAACAAGTCTTAATCAGAACGAAAGCAAAAAAATAATATCATCATCACCAACCTATAAATTTTTTAATTGTTTGGAAAATTAAACATAACACAACTACTTGGCTTAGTTGAAAAAAAAAAAAAAAAAAAAAAAAAAAAACCTATTATATGAGATTCATGCTTCTATTTTTTTTTTTTTTCATTTGCTTTCCTTCACTTCTCCCAGCAGCCAAACAAGAATTGAACTTTGTGTGAAAAAAATAATCTAAGAAGAATGAAAAAAGCATAAAACTTTAAAACAAGAGAAACCCAGATGAAAATCACACCTGTAACAATGGCAGTGAGACCAGTTGCATCAATCCCTTGAGTAACTTGCTCAGCCGTTGATCTAGGTGAGAACCCAGATGGCCCTTTCCACCCAAAAGGCCACATCTTTCCAAGATTTTGATCAACAGCAAACAGCTTTTGAGTTCGCAAACCTTTCAATCTAACACTAATAACTATAATAATTCCCAAGAATGGTATCTCATCATCGATTTATTGCATCGGCCTAAGGTAACGATTACGACATGTTGCTTTGACTTACATCATCTTGTTGACGAGGATTCCCATGAAGACATGAGAAAAGGGTTTGTTTCTGAAAAACTTGGAAGTCACCGTGACATTGCCACAGAGCTTTAAATAAAATAATGAATCCAATTCGATTATTTAAATGAGGTCAACACCAAGGTATGGTAAACAAGCACTCCAAAGCCACGTGTAACAGAGTTGGCCAATTTAGCAGGACCGAATGGTTTACGAATAAATCCAATTCGATTTTATCGGCGTTGCGTACAAAGTTGTTAAGGGTTTCATATGATCCGTACGATTTTTTTTTAATAATGGGTTTCATTAAAACAAAAAATTTGAATCGAGGTTAGATACTCTCAATGAATAAAAATTCTTCATCCGATCGAACTTCATCGAGTTGAAAGCCACTAATGATTATGAACATTCCTTCTACGAGTGGGCACAAAAAAAACTCCATTAACATCCCTAAATGGGGTTGTTGTTACATGCACAACCTTAAATTAGTCCAATTTTTATATATCATATCTAAATTAAGTCTCTGAAGAATTTTTTTTTACTCGATTGACCTTTTTTACATTTCAATTTATCTTGGTCACCAATTCAATGATAAAACAGGTTTATGCCAAAAGCTTGGCTTAAGCTCTCTAATTATTAGTAGTGGAATCTTAAAATTACTCGTCCAAACATCACTTTATTCCTATTGATGTTTGATACTTTCTATTAAAATTTGAATGGTCTTGGATAGAAGGATTCAATTGAGAATTTCTAAATCTTCGGGGATTCATTTGGGAAAACAGAATCAAGACGCGTGTCATCATTGTCCAAATAATTATTCTAATGGCCCCCCACCCGGGCCCTGAGCACGCTCGGTTCAGAGCAAATTAATTCCCTGAACTCTGAATTCTTAAGGGCCCCCACAAGCTACTGACATGTCATTTAAGAGGCTCACCAACAACGGTGTCGGTGGGTTCGTTCAGGAGCGTCGTTTAGTGTTTGGAAACTCCCCCAACATCAACATGAGGCATTTCGTTTTGAGGTTACGGTTCAAAAGCCAACCACCGCCGCCGCCGCCACCACCACCAACCCAACCCAACCCTGGTTTCACCAAAATACCTTGCATTTAAAAAAAAAAAAAAAAATGGCACAGCTCGCTTCTAGTTTGTAGAAGTCTACATGTAGAGACAAAAATAAGGGGCAACAGAACAAGTATATACTTGGACACAATAATACACGCACAGAAAGCAGCTTGTTTTTCATGGAGGTAGCATCTATTTGAACACAAACAATGCACAGAAAGCAGCTTCTTATTTTTTCATGGCGGCCTTCACACCCTCGCTCAATAACGACCCCTTGTGAATAATTAAAAACATTATGATCCATTCTTTAAAGGACCGTGGCAAAGTCTGCATCCTCACTGCAGAGTCTCATCATTCATAGGGACCCCCCACACACAGAATAAAGTCACCAGCAATTTCCTTTTTTCAAGTAGGAACACCACAAACCAAAAAAGGAAAAAAAGGTGAAATGATGAGGAGGTAAGCTAGGGAGAGGATGAAGCCATAAAGATAAAAAAGAATTCTCCATTCAAAAGATGTCACATGACTTGATACAGCACAAGCACAACTAGATAATTTACACACATAAATTAACATATCACAACGCCGGATTTACATACTAGATAGAGATGACGCAGTTCAAACAGAAGGATTGAAGAGGTTGAGATCAACTAGGGGAGGAACAAAAGGGATTGTGAGACTTGAACGGGTGAAAGAAATTAAGTTCTGCTCTTGAAAGGAATGGCTCTGATGACTATCTGATGGTAGACAGCAGCAAGAGCAGCTCCAATAAAGGGTCCAACCCAGAAGATCCACTGTAAAAAAACAAGAAGATGAGCTGAAACGAATCAAGTCACTTCTCATTTAAAGGGACTGTCAACTGCGTTCTTTCAATCAAACTACTTACCTGGTCATCCCATGCGTGATCTTTGTTATAGATGATAGCGGCTCCCAGACTCCTTGCTGGGTTAATGCCAGTTCCGGTGATGGGGATGGTAGCTAAATGAACCAAGAAGACTGCGAACCCGATGGGAAGAGGAGCCAAAAGCTGCCACAAAATCATGAGATAAAAAAAGTGAGAGCAAGCCCAAATTAAAAGTATGTTTGTTCGATTTAAAGGTATCTACCGCAGCAGTGCCACTTATAATTATAAGCTAAGAACCTATTGTTATCACTCGATTGCATCAATCACAACACATTTGTGTCGTCTAAACATTAAACTTTAAGATTGTGTTCGCATGATATGTCCATGATTGGACCAAACTTTTAGCAATGGACTTACAAAGACAAATATTTAAGCCACCAATACCTTAACTATTTATGCCCCCAGGAAAAACAAAAAACATGAAAAAGGATTCGAACACACCGTCTCATGAATCCCACTAATAGAGTTGCACCTTCTCAGAAAAAAAGCCCAAACTGGATGAGAATAACGAATAATTAAGTTTCAACAATCAAGATCTGCGTTCAGTTGCACAGTTAACATACAAGTTGAGAAATTAATAGTTGTGGCAACTATTAGAAGATGCAGCATCAATCATTGTCAAAGCATAATATAATTAGCGAGATAACACACTACGGGTATCTTTTGTCCAAATTAAATGGAAATAGCTTAACGGATTGAGGTGACAATTTGTGTGGTATTATTGCTCAACAAGCACAGCATGATTGGTACATGAGCCAATAATATAATTAGCGAGATAACACACTACGGGTATTATTGCTCAACAAGCACAGCATGATTCACTAGTGAGCCAATAACTCTTGCCACATCAAGTACATGGTCCATATTGGTAAGCGTGAGGCATACACAAAGCACGCCCAGTACCAAGGTTCCATTTCCAAACCATGTGTGATTCTCTTACATTTTCCCATTCTCATGTGCAAGCCTTGGTATTGGGAAACCGATGCAATTCTTTTACACTTTCCCAATCTCAGAGTTTCAATATCTATGGGTGGAGCACCAAATATAACTTCCTCAATGCAGCACCCATAGAAAGAATGTATGAACACTTACAATGCAAAGTAATCGTGTAGTACTGCAGCAGAGGTGACAATGGTAAAAGCATAAGGGGGAAGGATTGGGACTATTTGGTGTTGTTCAATAATGGAGAGAAGCAACAACTTTATAAAATAGGACGTACTGGCCGGTTGCAACACACACGAGACAACAGTACTTTGACAAGCACTTCACAAGGGTTATTAGGTAGAGCACATGCTAAGTTACAGAATCTCATTAACCTTTTTTTTGTTTCGCAAAGAAAACTAAAACATCATTATCGAAGTAACTATTCATCCCACACCCTTCCAAAGCAAAGAAAGTAAAGAGAACCTACGCCCCAGCCACACCCACCAATCCCGGTACAAGACTGCAAGAGTTCAATAACCTTTGTAAACCAAAAACCACTTCTAAAACAAAACCACCCCATCTTTGCTTGTTTCTAAAACTTAGAAAAACATGATCCATACTTCTACTAAAAATCTTGGGAAATATACCAACAATATCTAGCTATCAAAGAAGCATGCACGTCTAAGAGACATACTTGAGACAATCAAGCACTCAAAAGCAACAAGAGATGAAGAAAAACATAGTAAAGCTCGCACAAGAATCATATAGCATGAATGGACAAGTCAATGACTGTTATAAAGTTAGCTTGGTACATATATGGAGAAAAACAATAGCTAATAGTACTTACCGGGACATGAGAGTCTCTAGCGTTTCTCTTAGCATCGGTGGCAGAGAAGACTGTGTAGACAAGAACAAAGGTACCAATAATCTCAGCACCAAGGCCATCACCCTTGGTGTATCCATGAGCCACAACATTAGCTCCACCAAGCTCAGTCTCATAGAGTTTGCTTCCTTGGAAGCCCTTCACTACACCAGCACCACATATAGCACCTAGGCACTGCATGATTATGTAGAACAAAGCCCTTGTCAAAGAGAGCTTCCTTGCCAAAAACAGACCAAAGGTGACAGCTGGGTTGATGTGTCCACCTACACACATGCAGATCTAATTAGTACTATACACCATCATAGGCTTTAACAAAGGGGGAAAAAAAAACTGGTTTTATTAAGAAAGACGGAAAATTTAAGAAGCAAAACCCAGAAAAAAAGGCTTGTTAATAAAACCCAGAAAGAATTTAAAATAAATAATCTAAAGAAGGCTAAGCAATACCGAGAAAAAGAGAGAAAAGGAGGCAACTTTATCATTTATTACCTGAGATACCAGCAGTGCAGTAAACAAGGGCAAAGATCATGCCGCCAAAAGCCCAAGCAATGCCTTGAATACCAACGGTGGAACATTTGCTGGTATTAGGCTTATTAACACCCATGACAGTCAAGATAGTGATGTAAAGGAACAAGAAAGTGGCCATGAACTCAGCAATACCAGCCCTGTAAAAAGACCATGACTTGAGCTCACCAGGCTCAAACAAAGGAGCTGGTGGCGGCTCTTTGTAGTCCTTGTCTGTTTGAGCTGATGTCCCAATAGGTTGTCGCTCTGAGAACTTGTTAGCCCCGAGCTTAACATCCTCTTCTTTGCCCTCCATTTTCTTTCTCGCAAGATGGATCCTCGGTTTCTGTCTCAGAGAGTAGCGTCCACTCGAGAAAAGCTAAGCAAAAGTTGGTAAGGGAAGAGACAGAGATAAGGGTTGTTTTATAGATGACAGACTTTGTAAGTCATTTACAAATAAATTTTAATTAAAAATACTGTAATAAAATAAATAATTTAAATATTTCATCAGAGAATTATTATATAAAAAAAGAATGTGACATAGAGAGTATTTAATTTCTCAACTATTTGGCCACGTTAAAAAAAAAAAAAAGGTTGTCTTTGCATTTCTATTTTTTTCTTAATATGTTTACGTGATTATGATCATAATCGTAACGCCCCTTCTTTTATTTTGTAAAAGTAAAATGATAATAGAAAAATTAAATTGTAGTTCATTCTTAAGACTTAATAGAATAATAAAATGTCGTTGGGTTTTGATAAGTATTACTCTTTTTTTATTAAAAAAAAAATGAAAGGTCAAAATTTTAAAAAAATGCATTCAGCATTTTATTATAAGTATTCAGTCAAAACTTAAAATATTTTAGTAATAGAGTTAAAGTTAATCATACAAACATTTTATCGTAATGAGAGAATTGTGAGTACAGATAAGAATTGCATAAACGAGGAGGATTATCAATATACTTTGATTAGTAAGTGTAGAGATCTAATTAATTTGTTTAATTACTAGATTTCAAGATTATAGTAAACAAACCAAACTACTTTGTGTATATTCAATATGTTGCCTTCTTAAATTTGAAAAATAAACAGAATGATCAATATAATTATTCATAATTATTTATGTGTTGGTGTTTGTTTATATATATATATATATATATAAAGATATTTTCATGTTAATTTTTATATCAATTAAGATTAAATTTATTATTTTTTGAGTTAAATCAATAATACAGTATATTTAAATTATTATATTTTTATAATACTTTAGGGTTTATTTAAACTTTTTTTTGTCGTTATTGTTTATAGATAATCCAAGGGGTTACGAGGATTGTTCTGGAAAGAGCTGAGGGATTTTGACAGCTTTCGGTTGGTGGCTGGTTCTTATCCTCTCGCGATCGGAGAGTGTCGTCTTTTTCTTTATATATATATATATATATATATATATATATATAGGTATTTTTTATCCAAGATAAATAGCTGTGCCCTCACCTAATCAGAACAAAAGAATGTGGGCAAGGCTTGCAGAAGAAAATAAGAGTCGTATCAAAAGCACTAATTGTGATCACATGTGGTCAAGCTGAGTGAACGTCACAGCCCACTTGTGTAAAGACCAAAGTATCCAACACCCTTTTCGAAACTATTGAGATATACTTTTGTTGGTTGGTATCAAAAGTATTAGTTACTCTATATTATTGTTTTTTGTTTAATAGTAATTTATTACGATTCGCATCCATTTATAAAATGTTAATATTAATCTTAGTAAAAAGCATGTGTTAATAAGTTAGCATCAATAAAATATTATGAAAAAATTAATTCAAGATATATTATTATCTTGTGTGTAAAATTAAAAAAAAATACAGTAAATATATCACTTATATTATAATTTTGATTTCAAAATGGATAAATATAGTAATGATAATTTTTTTTATAAATACACTAATTTACATATGGATAAAATATCTAAAATCTAATAGAATAGAAATTAAAAAAAAAAAAAGGTATCTCATTTGCCATCCAAAAAAAAAAAAAAAGATTCATTGATTTGTCTAATTCTTTTGGTTCCAAAGTTTAAAAGCTAAAAAAATCATTGGCTTGTTATAGCTAGGAGTGAGCAAACGGTTCGGTTAATCGAAAACCGAATAAAACCGAATCGAATTATGAAATTTGGTTCAATTTTAAATATAAAATTATACAATATAAAATCGAATCGAAAAAACCAAAATTATTTCGGTTCGGTTCGGTTTTTAGAAAAAAATTTCGGTTTCGACCGAAAACCGAAATAAAAAGTAAAAAATTTCCTAATTTCTAAATCCATAACTTTTCAATCTTCATTCTTGTTGAAACTAAAACATGCGGATATGAAGTAAATTTTGAGGACCGTTGGGGTAAGAAAAGAAAGTAACAGAGTGTAATTAATTGGGATACAATGTGTTTGAATGAGTAAATTTATTACACTTGGATTCATTTTCATTAAAGCTTAGTTAAAATCTTTAAGGGCGATTGTTTATAAAAAAAGATTAATTGATAACAAGATGTTACTTCATTGGCTAATGGACTAAGTGCTAGTACAAAACATCTCTTTGTAACGATTTTGTTTTAATAGCAAAACATTTTGGTTAAAACCAAAATATTTCGAAACCAAACCGAATTTACCGAATTTATTTTGGTTCGGTTTTGGTTTTTATTTTTTTTAATTCGGTTAACAAAAAATCGAATCGAATCATACAAAATCGAACCGTTTAACCAAATGCTCACCCTAGTTATAGCTGGCTAGCTGAAGCTTATAGCCAATGAAGAAGTCAAATCACTTTCTTGATTTCACATCCTTTTTCCTCGCCTTGGATGGTCGTGATCTGTTTTTTCACAGCTTTAGGAATGTTTTGAAGTATCAGGCAATCTCAATGTCACTCTCTTGAAGGTAACAAGGGTAAAGTAGTCATTTTAAATACAACCAGAAGCCACAGGATTTTGCGTCCAAAAAACGCAAAATCACAGCCACAGAAGTAAATATGTTTCAAAATAAAAATGAAAAATCGAGTGGCAGCGAGAAGCTGACCGTTTGTGACCGTTACGAAAGCGACGGCCGTTTCAAAAGTTGGATGACGGGTGCTAACGGCTAGTTTGGCTAAAGACCGAGGTTATGATTTCCATGAGAAAATTACTATTGCATCCTTATTGTGTCGCATCGGACTGACCTGAATGGTAGGGTCCAACACACACATATTCAAAGAATTAGGTGGCCAAGATAACACTTCGATCATTAGTGGAGCAAAAAGGACTTTCATTGCTCCTTTTAAAATAAGAAGGATAAAAAGTGAAATGGTAGTTAAACTTTTTTTTCTTCTTTTGTTTCGACGATAAAAAAGTTCCAACTTAAATATAATTGCGATTAGGATAGATTGACACTTTTATAATTCTGATCCAAATAACACAAGTGAGTTTGTTTTTTACGTTTCAAATTTTTTATACAAAAAAAAAAAAATCATTTCTTTTAATTGCAAATCGTAAGCAATTGAATGAGCAAAACATTAAAGACAGATACAGAAATAATTATTCATCGGGAGGAGAAGGAAAAAAAAATAATAATAAATAAAAGATGTTTGCCTCTCTCTCTCTCTCTCTCTATGCTTGCTCAATCCTAGTGTCACTATTTTCTTTATATATTTTTTTTATATCACGAATTTTCTTTATTTAACTCCTTAACATGTGTTTTTTTATAGATTGATTCAAATAGTATGGATAAAAATTCATGATGTACAGAAATAAAGAATTAAAGTTTTAGCATAGAGTGGCATTAACAATATTTTAAAGAGGTAGAATATTGACTTTCGATTAACAATATTTATAAAAATATTTTAAAACTTAGACTTAATACAAGTAAAGATTAGAATTTCTTCAAATATTTGTGAACGTAAAAAACTCAATAATTTCTATAAAATATATGATCAATCTATTTATATACCTATTCTATCGTTTGCAAATTAAAAAAATAAAAATAAAAATCATGTACACTTAATCTTTGGATAAATGATAAAAATTTAAATAATTGCTTTACTGGTTCAAGTTTCTCATTTCCAATGTGGTGAAATTTAAAGCTTTTAACAGCGCATTGATTGCTTATACGGACAAAGTTGCTAAAAAAATAGAAAAAAATCCATCAGAGAAGCTATTTGTCGATTGTCATTCATAAAGAGAAAAAACACTCATCATGAGTTTCATAACCAGAAACCAACGGCACTGATTGAAGTTTAGGAGAATCTATGACAAACATTTCCTCACTTAATTAGTCAAATTGATTTGATTAATGGAAGTATTATTTCCATGGATTTGAGTATCCTTTCCATGACCTAACATCACAAACAGTAGAGATTGGGACCACTTGCTTTCTTTCTCGTTCTCTGTCCATCTCCTTAGCTTTTCTATACTTAAATCCTATCTATGGTCTCATCTCACTCTAATTGTTTTTTGTTCTCTGCCTTTTTTTTCTTTTAAGGAAAAGGTGTATAAGCCTATCATGCTAGACAACTCACCCTCATGGGATACCCTCCTGTTCTTGTCCCCCTGCCCTCACATGCTCCTACGCCAATACCTCTCTTGCATGCGGCCTTAGGCCCCATTGCCACCCATCTGTGACCTAGAAAATAACAGAAACCCTAAAACCTGGAAGAGCTTGCGCCTCCATCATCTTTAACCGTCCAAACCTGTATCTTCTAGACACGTGGCATGAATCTGATGTCAATCCGGTGTTGTTTATCTTTTCTGTTACGTCACCTCCAGCTAGCTAGACTGACCCACCAATCCATAAGCAAGGCACCAAGTGCCAAGCGGCCCCATCCTAAGGACTAAAAGGTCTAACTACATATTTCAGGATTTTGCCACGGGTCACTTCCTTGGCCTCTAGCTAGAACGTGCTTTTGACTCCAAGTGATTAGATTACAACTAATGATGTAATGTAATGTAATTAGGTTCGTTGGGAGAAGAAAAAGAAAACTCTAGTTCTCCTGAGAGGGGAAGATGGAGTGTGTATATGTGTATATATTGGTAAAAAGAATATCTTCTAGCATTATCCGTACAAGATAATGGCATCTTGAATATTATGAACTGGCTTATTTTCTTATTTGATAATGAATTGATGATGGTTCAATCATGATATATGATGAAAAGAGTAAGGTTTTCTGTATATATATTAATGTTTATACAACAATATACAAAAAAACATGGCCTTGACTAAAGATCCTCGAGATGATTTTATTCTTATTACTTGCCACTTGTTTATTTCATTTTTTTTAATATTAAATATATGGTTTTAAGTAACATTTA